AGCGCGAGAGAGAGCGAGAGAGAGAGCGAGAGAGAGAGCGAGAGAGAGAGCGAGAGAGAGAGCGAGAGAGAGAGCGAGAGAGAGAGGGAGAGAGAGAGAGAGAGAGAGAGAGAGAGAGAGAGAGAGAGAGAGAGAGAGAGAGAGAGAGAGAGAGAGAGAGAAAGAAAGAGAGAGGGAGAGAGAGAGAGAGAGAGAGAGAAGGAGAGAGTGAAGATGTGAAAATGAGAAGATGTGATGAAAATGCAAACATATGAAGATGTATAGCAAACCTCCACTATTAGAAGACCCCTTCGCTCAGACGCTCTCGGGAAAAACGAAGTGCAGCGACTGCATCAAAGGTTGGGCACCATCCCATGTGCAGTTTCTTCGAAAGAAGTTCTTAGAGGTACACCCCGTGGCAGCGCGTGGTGGCTGGGTGTTTTTTCCAACATTTTCATACACTTCAAGGACTAAAGTTCGAAAAGGTCACCGGTGACTTTGGTAACAAGTACAATAGGATGGGTTGGTAATGTTGGCCCTTGAAAAAACATTGAAAAAAATATGAAGTTGAAGTTTCGCATGCTTGGGAGAGATTTCTGATACGAGGGAATAACAAATTCTCCCGTGGTTTCCGCTTCAACGTCTTGGCGACCGTCTGGAGTCTCAGCAGAGCTACATAAATATGTCGCCAGGCTACAGGGGAAGGAGAAGAGGAGCTTGACAAGAAAGGATTCTACAGTCTCTTCGCAGAACTTCAGGCTGGGATGAGCTTCACCTTGGCTAGGAGATTGAGGTGTGCATAAGAGATTGCATAAGAGACTGCGAGACAATGCAATACACTCAAAAAGATCATAGAAGTATTGGTAGGGTGCAGCTGCGACCTTAAGGATCTCTACAGAATTGTTTTGTTGGCAATGCCTTCCAAAGCATGAGGATGTTGGTCCATTGCAATGCAGAGCCCCGAGTGGCTCAGAGTTGCAGGATTTGCCGAGCTCCGTTTCGGAATCGGCCTTCCGCATGTTCGATGCTGATGGCTCGGGAAAGCTGCAAAAGGCCCAGTTAGAATCGCACTGGGACCGCAGAGGCATGTCCTAAAGGTTTGTAAGCGTCCAAGCGTCCCAAGCGTCCCAAGCGTCCCAGCGTCCCAAGCGTCCCAAGCGTCCCAAGCTTCCTTGCTGTGTGAGGCGATGCCAAGATTGACTGACTGAGTGGACGGAAACTCTTGCAACATCCTGCAACAATCATTTAACTTCAATTTGCCGCCAAGGAATTTTAAAGAGTTTTGCTGCGTTGGCAACTTGGGTGGCGGCTGGAAGAACGGTGGAATGTCAAACATGTCAAGAGCGAATTGGACGCATGAATGGCTTCATTTGACTCCAATGATCACTTGGTTCTTCTCGAGTTTCTTATTTTTGCCTAAGTCGGTGGAGAATCTCAATTTCTAAGGATTTGAAATTGAATAACGCATTCTAGCCTTTTGAGCCTTTGTGCAGTCTTTTGGCATGATCCTTTACGCGGCATCTGACATTGCACTCCCAAACCCAGTGACTAAGGCCTTGGCCTTGTGCTGTCAGCTTATGTCCTCAGATGATGAGAAGATCCGTTTTGTGTTCGGCACCTCAGGCAACATGGAAGCCATATGAAGCCACATGAAGCCACACGAAGGAAGGAGAATAACAAATTGATAGCATGAAGGATGGCAACTAGATTCGCAGAGATTTTGGGAGACTTGACGACATGTTTTCAGTGCATTGCAGCAAGCACACGATCCCGACTGAACCGTCGACTGTATTGAGGTTTCACATGTTTGACACCAACGACGATGGGCTCTTGAGTTCTTTGGAAGTGGAACAGCTCGTAGAACACGCCTTGCGGGAGGAAAACCAGATGGATAACTGGGGATCCAAACACTGGACGTTCCAAACTTCCAAAACGTAGAGGTCTCCAATGGTTTGTTTACCTCCGCTGTGATTGTCACCTGGAGTTTCCTGCTGAACAGTCACATTCCTGGGTCTGTGACAGGTATGCAAAGAAATCTTGCAACTTGCAATGACTATCTTCAACTGCCTGAGCTGCAGGAGGAAAAGTATCTTCCAGCTGAAGAACACCTTCTCCAGGCTGCAACGCTAGGGCAGTGGCCATCAGTTGCAGTAAGCAGAGATATATAAATGATTTCGGGCAGAGCATTGTGCAGCTACATGAATATATATATATATACACATACGTACTGTATGTACGTACTATATATATTTATGCCCTATGAATAAATAGTATATATATAGACATCTCTTTATCTTTCTATCGATCTATGTCTATGTCTATATTAATATTGTTTTCTATATCTCTGTCAAATTCTGCATCACGTTTATCTACATCGATATCTCACCTATATATAGCCAGTGTGTTAGCTGATACTTTGCAGGTAGGGTGACAGGCTTTTGAGCCGGTGTAGCTGCTTTTCCTTCCGCGTTTGCGCACCTGTGAGATGTCACTGAAATGTCAAGCGGAGTTCTGATACTTTAGGAGCTTTTATCCCAACTCTATCCACTTGAGATTCACAAGAAAGTGGGGCTGCGCTTTGAAACAAGCCATGCGGAGAGTGGTCTCATGAGCTATTCAAATGTGCCTCAGACATCTCGCATATTACCCGTATTGTGCATATTGCCCAATGTATTGTTTGAAGAAAGACTCGTGGATCTATCTCCTTGCCATGCGTCCATTCATCCATCCACCAACCCATCCTGCTGATGTGTTTGTCCCTGAGTCCATGCATCCTAGAATCACACATAGGCGCACAATTCACGTAGCGTTTCATGTGCATATCCAACCCTAAGACGCTGAGTAAATGCACACTCAATCCAAGTGTACAGACTGGTAAGCCTCACAAAGTGATTTGTATAACAGTGATGGCATTTGTGAATCGTATCTGTTTAGGCACCGCATTTTGAGTCTGGCCACAATCAGAAAGAAACAATGAGACTCATATGCGATACAGATTTTCAGAAGTGCTTGGAACGTCACCAATGCCACAGGTCACTCCACCACCACGTGATCAGTGACAACCACTGAAAATACCTAAAACGGACTGGCTTGGACTTGGGACTGGGGCACGCGACATCCCCGCTAGCATTCGACTTGAGACCTGCAAGTGGCAGGAAGTCCAGAAAAGAAATTGGTCCCGTATCTCCCAGCTGAAGCAGGAGGGGATGGATTGAGTTCGAGCCCCATGCTGGTTGCATGACTTGTCATTTGCTGACTAGTGTCTTTCCTGAGTCTTGCAGAAAAAACAATTCATTCCAAGCCATTCTCGATGTCCAACTGAAGCCCTCCCGCGATCGTAATATGCTTGCATCTGTCTCAGTGCCCAAGTGGGTTCGAAACTGTGTATGATTCTTACAAAAAGTGGTATGGAACACACGACGGACCAAAGGAGAAGGGGCACTGTTTGTTGGCCGAATTATCTACCGGAGCAGCTGTCAAGATCAGACGCCAGAGTTAGGGTGCAGGATTTCTCCCATTCACCCTGGTGCATATGCTCTTTTGGTCAACACCAAGAGTTTCTCTAAGCTGCCATTAATTGCCATCAGTTACGGCCCTTCAGGAGTTGCTCGGGACTACTTCTCAGCCACTGTCCTATGATCGATTCTATGAGTTCGGGATCCCGTGGCGGTCCAGTTGATTTCTTTCTTTTGAGACGGCATCAACCAGATGATCTGAGAGAAATCCCGAACTACTTCCGTGCATGGGTGAGTCCAATTTTGCTATGGAAAATGCAAAGCCCAGCTTCATTGAAGCCTATCCGAAGGATGTGTGCTCAAATACTGTACCTGACTTGTGTTTGATGTGTTTGATAGAGTTGAACTCCGCCTTTTCCATCTCACTATACTTTGCTCTACAACCTATCATTGGAAGAGTGACAGATAGCTCCATTTTTGTATCAGATGGGTTCGGCACTTTACAGCGTTGTTTAGTGAAAGGCTAATGGTCTTGCCATGATCTTTTTTGCGTCCGAACTCAATCTCATCTCTTGCCTATCATCTAATTTTCTGCTACCGACGAAAACGGAGAGGAAAGGGAGTCATGAATGGATCCTCAGGGTATGTGACCGAGGGTCATGGGCCTAGTTGGAATTCAATTCCATGAGCGGAAAGCGGCGCAGTTGAAACTTGTTTGAAAGGTCAAAATCACCAAAGGGAAACCCTTTTACTGTGAAGATACCAACAAAAACCGGATGTCTTTGTTCATAGCTCCAGCTGTGTTCCCTACTCCCAGCTTGGCTATCGGCCACGCTTGGACAATGGGAGGTGGGCCTTGCGGAACATGGGCAGTGTGCAGCCTAGTGATGGAGACCCGCTTTGGCAGGGTATCTCACCACGAAGATTTCTACGTCCAAGCTGCCGGCACAAAAAGTGCGACCTAGCCAGGCTTAGCCAGGCTTAGCCAGGTGCTCATAGTATTCCCAATTGACAACGTGCATTCAATGTGCTTTGTGAAGCCAACATGGCAAGATATGGCAAGGCCTAAACAATTTGCTTTGTACTTTCCAATTGGCCCGGAGACTCAGTGCTGCTCTGGCTGCACAGCTATGATAGCACCAAACACTGCAACTTAAATTCTTTTATGGTGGTGGCAGTGGTATGCCACGTATGCAGGACGTTACATAGACGTATGCTATAGTGTTTATGAATTGTTTATGTGTGCAGTTAAACACAAAGATATACATACCCATCATGATGTCTCTAAAGCAATGACTAGACGATGACAGCTCACACGGTGACTGACTGCATTTGAACGTGTACCAGCTGTGGGCGTTCAGCCTTACATACTTCTTTTTCATTCACTCCTCCAGGTGTCTAGTTGTGGTCTTCAGAGCAACAGTGTCAATTAAGTTAAGTTCATTATTTTTCGCATATTCGGGCTGCATTTTGAAGAATAGTTTGACATCCTCAAAGTTAGGCAAATCTGAAGGCGCAGAACACATGAAACGGAACTATCGAACAAAAAGGTCATCCGCCTTTTTCCTTCTATTTCAATGTCTATATATACATACGTACGTACTACAGACATACAGACGACATGCAGACATACAGAAAGACAGGCAGGCAGACATAAACACACACACACACGCACATATATAGACACACAGACACACAGACACACAGACACACAGACGGCAGACACACAGACGGCAGACACACACACACACATCCTATGTATATATATATGGTATATGTGTGCGAAAGTGCGTACGTACATCCGTACATCCATCCCTCCCCTCCTTCCCTCCATCCATCCATGCTTACATGAAGGTCGACGAAACCTGCAAATCAGTCATAACGAAACAGTTTAGCCCACACCAGTAAAGATATGCCTTTTCTGAGATAATGACCACGACTCCAGCCCAGCAATGAAGCAAGCTGCTTTCGATTAAAGAGCATTGCCAATGTAACGTAAAGTCAACAACTGATTTCGAGTATTAGGCTATCAAGGCACTTATCATTATTTGGAAGGCGGGTCGAACTTTTTCCTGGAGATTCATGGAGCTGCATGTGACCATGTGTAGATTCAGTGTGTATTATTCTGGCTCAGGTGCCGGCTCCACAACGTGAACGGGCAGTGTGTGAGGCCAGGGGTGTTTGCTTTGGCGCTTGTGAAATGTTCGATGCCTTCCTAGAAACCTACTAAAGAATCCGTACTGGACGGGAGTTTGCAATGGCAACAGATCACCTCAGATGTTGCACTTCAGACAGTCTAGATCATCTAGATCTCTTGCTTTCGGCAGCACTGGGCTGGTGTACCTTGATTGGATTGCCATTCGTAGAGTCGTAGAGCCACACACACAAAGAAAGGTGCCAAAATGTGCCAAATGCATCACATTCTTCATAAATTCCGTAGATTCCTGTGCCGCTCTGCAAGCTGATTGCGGAAGGATATCATGCTTTGCAATCCTGTGCTACAAGAAGGATGCACATGGTACAAAGCCGAATGGAGCTTTCATTGCTGAACTGCAGTTGTGTGTCCGTGTGGATTGCGAGTGTCTCATAGATGTTACTTCAAATTTCTCTGCTTAACGTCACACGATTTGAGTTGAACGGTGGCAACTGCTTTCTTTACTTTATCTTTATCATTGGCTGCTTGCTGGTGTTGTAATACTATCGCAGTCTTCCGGGTTCCGTTCTTTCATAAGTGCCATTCAAGGCAATCAAACGAGTGATATGTACATCTGGTGCAAACACCATGCGCCTTGCAGCTGAAGGTATTGCATTTCTCACAAGTGGCTGCAAGTGTGGAAGTCCTACACTGGTTGGCCCCAGCCTTGGGATGCCGTGGGTAGGAGAGCTCTGAAAGACTCCACCGGTCTGCCATGGCCAAATGGTTTTCGATCCGGGTCAAGTTGGTCAAGGGCGGTCAAGGGCGGTCAAGGGTTTAAGCTGGTCAGCCAAGGAGTTTGCCCACCCGTCGTCGGGTAGCGTCCTCGCTGGGGCCGCAGATTCACAGATCAGGGAGTACTCAATCTTTGAAGTGAACACCTAGTGGTTGTGGCTCCATAGTTTTTTTGCGCATGCATGAAACCATCGAGTGAAAGGTTTGGTGGAGAGTCGTGACTGTTCAGAGACAAGAGAGGACAGATGGAGAAGGTCTCTTGCTGGCTTCCACCCTCACAAAGATTTCAAGAAAGATCAAAAGCCGCAGCTGCTTACTGAATTATATATAAATATGCAAATTGGTCTCTTGGTTTCACGCTACTGGCTTCTGCAGTCATAAGGCAAATGATATATGGGAGGAACTTGTTGCCTGGTCTAGCTGTGGCATTGACTCCAGTAGTTTTAGTGATAGCTCCGTTTGTTGGGATTTCCTGCTTCGCATCAGCCTTGCAAATCTATTTGCCCCATCTGGCCCAGACTAAGGCATGCCTTGAATGCTCCAGAACCGGTCAGAGGTCGCTGCACGGGAGTTTAATGCGGAGGTGGTGAAAGAGGATAGCAAACTGCTACAGTCAAACAGTTGACGTTCAAGACGGACGCTTTCAGTTTGTCGGCACTTGCTTCAGTTTGCTTCATGGGTGGCACGGGTTAAGGCAATGACCTCAGACTTTGACACCTCAGACTTTCTCCTCACTCTTATCTTTCTAGTCAGACTATTGAGAACAGAAAACCCATTGCCGCGGCCAGATCGTGAGCGGTGCTTTTCTGGTGATTCTGGCGTGAGGGCACTTAGAATAGAACACGTGCAATGGATGTGGCAGAGAAACCTCAGCCAGTGCTTTGGGAAGTTTTCGCTCGCAGACATGGAAAGATTGCAGATCTGTCTTGTAAATCGCTGATTCGGCGCCCTTGATCAACACACAAGTGGGCAAGCCATGACTTATCACTGTGAGCTCTTGCACTTTTTGTGTGATGAGCAGAACATGCCAGGATCATTGGTTTCTTGCAAGCTCTGCTTACAATCCAAGCAGACAAACACGCTGTTTCCAGCACAAGAGTCCGGCAATAATCTTAATCGTAATGAGTGACACTAGCAGAACTGCCAGATCCATCAGAAATCTGGCTGGTCGGAGGTTCCCTTGCAGCAGTTCAGTGACTTAGGTCTCGCTGCCTCTCTTCGGCACCGTGGCTGCACGTGGGGAGCTCAGAGGTTGTCCAGATTGTGGCAGTGCTGTTTTTACCTTCTGGCGAAGCTGGTTCTGCATGGTTCTGCTACTTGGACTTCTGAGACAATCCATCCACTGGCGCAGATTTGCCGCGTTCTGATGACTGCTTTGAAATTCAGAAGGGCTAGACGGTTCTGTCTATCTGCAACTAGACGGTTCTGTCGTTTGAAGCTGCCACGATATCATGGGTCCATGAGACTCGTCCTAGCGGTCACCTCTTGCGGTTGCACACCCCAAAACCAAGATTCCTTCACCAACTTCCGAAGGCGGTTTTTGTTATTGCCACTTAAATTATCTTGCTTGAACTTGCCTTGCTTTGCGCCACTTTCTTGCCTTCGAAACCATTTCAATTTCAACAGACACTTCTTAAACTGCAGTGTCTCACCATGTCTCATCCGCAAGGGTCACGATTGTGAACTTGTGAAACCATGCTATATGAATTCTTCTCAGGCACTGATGAGCTCTGGGGTGAGCGTGCGGAGACCTAGTCATGGTGGTGTGTCGTGAGAGGTGTTTGTTCTAATTCTGCGTCATTCTGGACCGAGTCACTGTTTGTGACCTTGCCATTATGTGAAAGAGTTTGACCATGTTTTAACATTTTCCAATCAGGCAGTGTTTCGAGATTCCCTCCATAGGACACCTTCCACTTGGATATTTGATGATCACTGGCTTTCTCCCATCGCAGCTGAGGTGCTGGTGGTTATCAAATCTTATCAGCTCGACCACCCGAGATCGACAATTCCGATTTGGAGGGGGAGCATAAGGCCGACAACGGCGGACAAATTAGGACACATCAAGTATGTTTTGATATGATTTACTGGCACCATGATTAATCAACACAATGGTGGAAATTTTTGCGGTGCGACTCTGAGCGGGGTTATGAGGTATTCAATGAATGAGCTTGTACTTTCTCAAACACTTGATGTGGATGCAAGCGTACCTCATTCCCAAGAAAGTTTTTGTGGTCTTTTCAATGGTGTGGTCTCAGGGTACAATGCCTTTGTATCTTTTTCCATGTACTTGCATCTAAAATATATATGTGTGTGGACACACATGAATCTCCCAGAACAGCTGTTTGAAACGCGCTTACTGTCCAGCCGGAGAGTCAGCCACAGGGTCTTGAATCGCTTTAAATCACTTGGGTGCAGGGTGAGTTGAAGATGAACCTGGTGGAGCATTTGGACTTTGACGCTCGGCGTGAGAACAACCTGAGCAACTCAAGCAACTCCAGCAGCCCCCCTGTAGCACAGCTACTCTCTGTACCTCTCTGTACCTTTTCATGTTTTTGTACCCCATGGATTTTGATCTGAGATTTTTCACCAATTTCAGATTTACAGGACCCTTGGACTGGAATCCAATTCACCTTCACCCTGAAAGACCCAGTCAATGGATCTTCACCACACGGTATGATATTTCGATGTTATCATATTATTCTATGTAGATTTGTGGAACATAAGTATTTCTGCATTGATATACAGCCAAGCTTTACACAGACACACATATTCATAGACATACAAACGTCTTCGCATAGATAGATAAATATCAATATCCATATATTAATCCATGTATGGACAACACAATGTGAGGACAAGGATGCCTTTTGAGATGCATCTGGATTCAACAATTCGGACACGCAAGTCTCACACACCTGAAAAGGTACAGACATACGACACGTCTATAGGATTTGTGTTAATCACCTTGGTGCAGCCTCAGGAGCTAATCCCAGAGCAGATGTGGCTGAGACTGGTAGAATGGCCAGGGAGCTCGATATGGGTAGTCCACGTGTGAAGATTCCGAAGCAACAGCATCATATGTACTTACATGATCTTTTTTAATGCTTGTTTACAAGACGTATACTTTCCAATGCGGTCTGATCTTCCCATCCATTTTCATCGCAAAGTTGTGAGACGTGGACAGCTCCTCCAGGTCTCCAGGTCTGGTTCGAGGCTCTGCTTTGAGGTATGGAGGTGGCCCAGCACTACCACGGAAGGTGATTTGCATGGGCCGAGATCGCCACATGCAGGACCGGGCGGATGGTATCGTTTGGACAGGGACAGGGTGGGACAGCGTGGGGAAGTGCAGCGTTTTGAGCATTTTTAGATTTTCAAAAGCAGATCTTTAGTAAGATAAGTCCAGATAAGTGAGTTGGAAGGTCTTTCATGTACTCGGCATTTGCGTGGCCTTGCCTGGCCTGTGGTTGTCTAGGTGGAGCTGTATCCTGCGCTGGTTCTTGTGGTGCGCACCATCTCAGCTGCCACTTTTGATGTTTGGTGTTTGCTGGAATAAAGATGACAAAGATCGGAAAGGCCTTTCATGAAATGTGTCTGACCTGCAGCAACGAGATCCCTTCTATGAAACTGTAGCTGCAAGGTTCCTTTCGTTTGCACTAGCTCATGCATTCTGAATGCCCCGAGTATAATGTTTGTTATGCGATCGAACACCCCGATCGAGCAACTCGATCAACCAACCTGATCTATCCAAAGTCGACATTTTTTTTGTTTGACTTTCCACATGTTTTTCGTTCTGAGTTTTAACTCTCTGCACTTGCTGTATGGTAGTGGCAAGGTAAAGCAAGAGTCAAGTGGAGTTCTGCAGGTGGTAGCAGGCAACGATGGCAAGCCAGTTCCGCAGTTCAGCTCCTTGGCCAGATGAAGACACACGTTTGGGAGGTTTGGGAAAGGTGAGCATTTTCTAAGTTGTATGGTTGAATGGGCAGAATACCTCAAAGCATCATTTGTTGCCACATCCAACAGTCTTTCTTAAGCCAATCCACAATGTAGGTATAATGCACATACATCTATTATACACATATATACATACATATATAATCATATGTATATATATATACATGTTATATGATTATATATATATATGCATGTATGAAATGATGTAGTCATAGGTACACAAAATTATGTATACACATGCCTGCATCCACTTGTAAACAAGAGTCCAGCATGGTTTCCGTCGGGACCGTGACGAGGTCGCCGCTTCTTCATCTCCAAGCAGTCGACATTGGATCAGGATCCGAGCCTGCCATGGCCACCATGAAGTCGAAGTTTCATAAGAAGAAGACGTTGAAAAGAAGAAGTGTGTGATAGTGTGTGACCCAAACAGCTGACCAGTAGGCCATTTATCCTGGCTGTGTTGCCCTTTGTTCTTTCTAGCTGCATCGGAAGAACAATCTTGGCTGCATGAACTGCATGAACTGAAATGGAAAGTCTACGTAAATCCCAAATCCTCTGAGTTCAACTCCTTGATACGGACGTGATCCAGACATTTCCGACTTGAAAGCTGCTCCGACGTTAAACACGTGCCTCATTTCACCAAGGGGGATCCTTTGGTCGCCTTCCACATCCATTGGTCGTTGTATCATGTTGTATCGTTGCACCGCCGAGACCCTTCTGATGTTGGCGGAGAAGTTGTCGAAGCCAGTTGAACGATCCCGGCTTTGGCATCGTTCCAAAGGCGGGATGGACCTGGCCGCCCCGCCTGAGCAAGTCCTGAGCGCTTGCTTGGAAGATCATCTAGCACGTTGATGCACTTCATCAGCGATGGCCAGTGAGTCTAGTCCACTAGTGACCTGATATTTGTGTGTACTTGGCTGGAAAAGCTTGCATACTGCATACATTTGGAACTCGCCAATCAAGATCCAAGATCCATGCCTTGTGGTTGAAGACTTGGCACATCTGCCATGCTACCTGCCTTGATGGCACTATTAGATCTTCTTAGTTAATAAGTAGTCTCTGCCAGGAGAGCAATGGCGTTTGGTGCCAAACCCCTTGCTGACGATGGATGAATTTTTAGAGGGCAAGGCCTGGGAGCTACAGTACTCACGCAGAATCCGGATGATGCTCACATTTTCAATAACAGGACTGGAGGTTTTCATGATGTTTCAGAACTGTTTCATGAATTCCCTTTATCATTTTTGGAAACTCACGTAACTCGTGGCAGACCGGCTTTGTTGCCAGGGCTGGGATGCTGGTGCATTCTTGCTGGAGACCATGACGGAGGATTCTGAGTGGTGTGGAACCCAGGTCTCGTGGAAGGTCCCACTGTGAGGGTTTTCCCGGAGATTCGCCTCGCTGCATCGGACCGAAATGAAATTTGGGGAGAGCGCAGTGGAGCGAGGCCGCGTGATCGGCCAGTGGACACAGAGGCCAGGAGTGGGGCTTGGGCGTCCATGCTGCTACAGCCGAAATCAGTGCTGAGTGACCATGAATGCATGCCAGTGCAGTATATGATCTGACTCCCACAATTTGCCATGTTGAACGGCTCTTGCAGGTCCCAAATGTATGGACATGTCCCAATATTGAGTTTGCATCTTCTCTTTGACACATTTAGACAATGTGAAACAAGAGTATCAAAGAAGGTCTCCTCCTAGAGTGTTGGGGTTCATGTCACCGAAGATCTTGGTGGCAACAAACTAAGGACAAGACATTGTCCCATGACTAGTGTGACTAGTGTCCTTGGATTTGCAGATCTTTGCTGGGCGTTCAACCCAAAAAGAGTGCAGGCTGAAGACCTCACTGAAGAGGCGAGGCAACACGATTATATATTGATCTTGTGGCTTCAAATTCTTCTGAGCTTTTCTTGAACGGTGGAGAACTTCCAGAAAGCTGATTACACATGGTGAACCATGTGAACCATCTTGGAATTCACTCTAGTTTCGATTCAAACCATTTGCCCCTGCCACGGATAATCTGGGCACCATATGCTGAAATCCTTTTTTTCTGGACACATCAGCCAGGTCGGGGTGCGCTTAGGACGAACATCTCTCGTCTTGCTCAAGATCATATTGCAACATATTGCAACATATTGCACCCATGTTTCCAACATTTTTCAATCATCAAATTTAAGGGGTTTGTTTAGCCCGGTGCCGTGCAACCGGCAGCCTCAGCGGACTTGCCACTTCACCAGGCTCAGGTCGGGCAAAGCTTCGAGGTGGGCGATCGAGTGGAGGTGCCTGATGCAGCTGATGCAGCTGATGCAGCTGACGCACACTCACGGGGTCGATATTTGGACCATCATGTCCCTCCGTCCGTCCCTCCTCCGGTTAATATCTCCATTATATAATATTCATTACATTAGATTCTTGGAGTCTTGAAGGATGGAATCGGATGGAACAGTGCTTCGGTCATGACTGAGAATTTCTTTAGAACCAGGTTTTCCAATCCACAGCCCAGCTACGAATCAGGCACAGGGTGCTGGTACTGGCCAATGGCTGTTGGAAGCCCGGTGAACTGCAGCATGAGAGCCATGGATGTGCAGAACCGGATAGGGTGATGACAAACATCGATATGACAGAAGCAGGGATACAGAGGGACGGTCAAAAGGACGTCACAGGGACAGGGACGGTGACAGGGACAGAAAAAAATCGAAGACATGTGAAGATATTCGAAGTCCCAAACTGCAAGTCTTGCTCAGTTGATAGGTCAAACATGGCTCAACCATGCTGTCCTTGCAGCGAATTTCCCTGCCCAAGGCGAGGGACCATAGTGGATGTGGTGCTCCGGCAGACCGCCACACCTTCACAGGCACACTCAGACGGATTTCAAGCCATTCGAGAGCTTCGTTGTAACGTATCTCTGGTAGACCTGGTAGACCACACTGACACGTGCCATTTGCGTTGATGATAGTTGAAGAGTTGCTCGCTGTTTCGTACAGGTGAAGGTTCATTTTGACTCTACGGTCTACAAGTCGGATGAGTGGATCAATACCCAGCGCTTGGCACCCCTTGGGACCCACACAGCCTGGTGCCCCTGATATATGACAGTCTATGACCCTGCTTTGGTCAAGAAGCCAACTCAGGCATGAAATGGCATGACACTTTGCTTGTGCACAGATTCAGGCGAAACACTCATTTCATTTGTAACAGGTGAGGGCATAATCTTCAGATCATGAATATACACTGTACATATTTCTTCCACTTTCTATGCCAATGTGACATGCATGCTGATATTGTGAGAGTTAACCAGAAAAGGTAGAATTCAGACACAGACAGATTCACAAACCGACAGCATGTCAACCTTGGCCATTTGAGCCACCTTCAAGGGGGTTCATGGCTGGGCGACAGGCTTTAATCTGGGTGACGAGCAAGGGTGAAATTCTATTGGGACTGGAATTTTGTGTGGAGCATTTGTTTGAGAAGAGTTCGACTGTCGATGAGACGGCAGTTATAGTTCACATGCTGTGAGACTTCCTTCAAGACGAAGCCAGATAAAAGCAGAATCATTTCTGCGATTTTCTACGGGGAATGAGATACTGAATGACCATTCACCTGAGGTGGACCCGGACAACGACCGTGACGGCCAGTCCCTGTGGGGGTGCCCAGATGTGGTGCTTGTTTGTTATTGATTGACTCAGCTTGACTTTGGACTGCTAAGACACAGTCGATGTGGAAGTGACTGAGCATCCCGATGAAATCCCACTGCTTGCAATGGACATGATCAACAGGCAACTGAGTTGATTGTTGGTTTCAGTGCTGGAATGTCCACTGCATCCCTCAATCCTTGCAAGGATTCTGATGTATGACAAGTTCTTGGGCTGAATCCCACCAATCTGTATCCAGTAGATTGGGTTCTGGAAGCTGACTCAGAATGTTTGAACAAATGTTGGAAACATGGGATCCACTTATGACCCCATGAATTTGCAGCTGGTGAGGTCAACTGAATGTGTGCCTGGAGCTACAGGTTGGCAGACTGGGGTTCTGTTTAGGATTTGGGGATAGGAATGTTCACGTTATACCTACAAATCCCGCCATGCCAATTTTTATCCCATCGCATCTGTGACAATATGAACATATGAAACTGAAATACCGGTGCAGCTGGCGGGCTGTGATCAGAATGCATTGGACTTGTGCATCTCTTTTTCACAGCAAGAAAAGAGTGACCGCAGGCACCCCTCGGTGCATCGGATGGTGTTGGTTCTCTGAAGTTTTCTGGAAAACCCGACGGGTGGTGTGCAGGTCTGCATAATTTGGGCAACACATGTTTCATGAACGCGGGGCTTCCAAGAGTGGCACTCGTGCGTCTTCAAAAAGTCTTGGTTTGGACGATGAGGAAAAGGATTGTTAACAGCACCAGCAAGAAGCGTTCCAAAAATAAATGCCGTAGTGGACTCAAAAGATCATTCCCTTATACCTATTCAGAAGTACTGAGTTGAGAAAGCAAATAAGCCAGAACTCATGTTTTTTGAACATTGAACTTTAGCACCTTAGTATGTATCTAATAGTCTATATTGATTTGATTTCGAAAAACTCCGCAGATTTGTGCGAATTGCTTGAGAAGATGATCTTCCGCCTCAAATTGCTGATCCCTCCCACCCTTCAGAGTATATGGTGAAGAATCTGTGCAGCAAGAAAGAATGATATATATATATTATATGTATTATATATAACATATTATAACTCCTTTAGACCACTTACGTATTGAGTCTGTGATTGGTGCACTGTCTCCAACATTTCGGTGACAGCCACTGGAACTGGCAGCGGCAGGAATTCACTCCTACAGAAATGGTCTGCAGATTCATTCCCAATCACAAGGATCAAAAAAGGGTAGGGAAGTTGAGGCCACTTTGCAGTGTCTGGCGAACACACCATTGTTGCAGCTCTGGCCGCAAAGGAAGGGCAGAGGGAACAGCATGGCTGCACCGTGCTTACCCCACAACTTGTTTTGACTTGGCAACTTGCTGGCTGCCTTGAGTGAAGTACCAGACTAGGCACCTGTGTCTTGTGGTGAACCGAGATTTTGGGTGAAAACTTCGACGCCATGATAGTGACTTTTGTTAACAGAGTCCTGTGAGCCAAGATTTGCATCATACAGACAGAGAAGAGAGGGCGGTAAGAAATACATTCCTGGCAGTCTAAGATTGTGTTGGCCTTCTAACAAGATGTTTGTTTTTTTGATTTCTGCAAACCCCGTGCTTCATAAATTCACAAAAACAAATGAAAAGCAATTGGCACCTTTTCCACGGCTCTTTGCTTGGATTGGTCTCCTCCCTTTTGCATATGGGGTCAAGACAGGCAAGATATGCTAAAACTCAGTTGTGACTTCTGGCTGTGTCGCTGAGGCGCGAGTATTTCCTCTGCTCGCAGCACTTGCGTGAGAGCAACGAGCGGTCCAAATCCAATTCCAAAGTGCGCTCTTGGGAAGATTGGGAAGAAGGGGGTAGAGGAAGGTGGGTGGCACTTTGACTCTTTCATAGAGGAGCTTCACTCCTGTGATAGAGTTAGCCATGTGGCGTGGGAGGCGTTAAACAGCTCCAAAGCACAATGTTAGAAATGGCATCTCCGACAAGGTGACGCATTGTGATGTGAGATGATGTTGCAATATCTTGACAGATGTCCGTATGTGATTGTGCGACAAATGCCATTGCGGTCGGAATACTTTCAGGGTCAAAACTGAAAGCATTGGACAACAAAGTAAGCATTTTGAGGCCAAGCTTATTAACCGGTAACCTCCCACACCTTAGCACCATCCCACTCTCCGAACAGAGAGCTTTAGCGATCGGGCCTAAGGAGATTGCGGCGTTATATTTCTACATGCGGACACACACACACATATATATATACGGATATCATGTGTGTGTATATATATATATAATTATCTTATATTATATAAGATACTGATGATGTTGCATGACTGTCACTACCGTGATCTCAACAACTCATTCACAGTTCGACCTCTTGGCACCTTTGTTGAGTTGTCTTTGGCATCTGCGAGACGAAGAAGTGGGTACAGTAATTGATTCCAAAGTGTGACTCAGAACTTGTGTAAATGCCACCTGGTCCAAGTGCTGCAAAGAGTCTCGGCATCTCAAATTCCCTCCACTTGAACTTGGACAGTTGCATCTAGACTCCTTGTGTCTCATGTGCTTCGAGGAAGGGATTTGGCGATGTACTGTCTTCATTAGACACGTACGATTCCAAATCGCCCATCGTTTAGCCGTTTAGCCTAACTGCACATACACGCACACACACACGACATGTACATCTACAGTCACTGCAGGGTTATACGGTGTACCAATTTACATCAGGGCCTTCTATCCATGATAGTGTGACCTGCAAAAGCGGGCCTTCATGTCAACTTTGTGATATTTTCTTGCATCATCATCTTATTTCTTTTTGTACCACCCATGTTATCATTTTGAAAAGCTGATTTCTAAGCTAAGAGTTTGGAGCAGTTGATGCTTGTCCCTAGATCTTCAATGATCTTCCCTGATTCCAGAGTACTCAACGGAATCACTGTCAGATCTGTCAGGGGAAGTTGGCGCAAGAATTTGGTTCAGTTTTTCTGGAGCTCTGGTCTGCAAAGAGTCGAGACCTCAGGATAGCTTGCTGATGGTTGCTGTGTTGCTGGTGGCTGAAGTCATTTGCAAACACAAGATCCATTTGGACTGCAGTACTATTAATCTATAGTATTTATCTGTATAATTTTGTATATATATATACATATGTATTTATTGTTATGATTCATTATGATTTATTATGATGTACTAGCTACGAAAGAGTGCAACAGTATTGACAGAGCTATTTGTGGGATCTGGACATCTCGTTTCTCTTCCAGGTTGCGTGGTGAGCCCGCGGGACCTGAAACGAACCATCGACCAGTTTGCTCCACAATTCGCAGGATACGAGCAGCATGATGCGCAGGAGCTGTGGGAGGTGATTCCGAGGTGATGTGACAGTGATGTGTTTATGTCAGTGTTCTGTCAGTTGTGTGAATGCCAGTTGTGTTTCAAAATGTTTCAAAGCATGGCAGGAGTTCATGGACTTCCTTTTGGAAGCCTTACATGATGATCTCAATCGAAGAGCTCGAAGTTTCTCATCCAAAGGTGTGCCATGCCGTCAGACAAGCCCAAGGACATAGCTTTTGGAGGTTTTCAATGGAAAGATGCAGTTATAAGAAAGAACCAACTGGAAGTGTCCCTTTAGTTGCTGAAAAACGCCATCGACGAAGAGTTTCATCCAATGTGGGTGTATATCTCCGTGCACATTGTGCAGCCGTCGCAGGGAGCAGCCGGGCCGGTTCGAAGTCCAAGTTGAGGAAAGAGCCCGGGGATCCCAGCTTCATAGCCCTCTACCCGACTCTACCCGACTCTACCCGACTCTACCCGACTCTACCCGACTCTACCCGACTCTACCCGACTCTACCTGACTCTACCCGACTCTACCCGACTCTACCCGACTCTACCCGACTCTACCCTTCGACTCTTTGACTTGCTGGGACTTGCTGTGGGGGAAAGGTTGAAGGGTCAAGTGGTAGGTCACAGGGTCATGGGAGTCATAGTAGGGACAAGTCATGAGATTTGGAGGCTCATAGAGGTGCCATGAAACTTCAGCCCTCGGACACTTCGGGTCACAGCCACCAAAGTGAGAAAGTGCCAATGGCGGACACTGCAATGGCGGACACATCGTGGAGCGGATAGATTTTCCATTTTCTGTAATTTTTTCTGTGGATATTCGTTCTGGGCTCATTCCACCGGCTGCTTCATGCATTGCGATTTGTTCAGCCATGGCCCAACAGGCCAGCGATTATGTGGAAGGAATCTGGGGGTAGTTTGGTCAATGCAGACAGCATGCAGTGATATGTCAGTTCTTAATAGTCCTACCAGTTGCAACTGACTGTAAAAGCATCAGCGATCAGCGTGCCTTTGATCAGCGAGCATGCTTTGAGTCTGAGCGGTCTTAGTGGATCATCCATCAATGTGACGCAAACGCAATGCATGCAGATGCACAAGGATGATCCGTCCGTTGCCCGCTTTTCCAGTGTGGCTCAAGTACCACATTTGAGGTTGTAGTATGTTGTAGTGCCATCAAACAATTGCAAGACTAGGATACCAAGTAGTGAGGCTTCGCTTGCCTGTAGACCTTGCCTGGACAGCCGAAGAAGACACGTGTAACTGAGAATCAGAAGTTCATCGCAATATCCATGACGTCAAAGGAAACCTGGATCAAATCCACTGATCAACTACAGGTCTGGAGTGCAGAAGTGCTGGCATCAAATGATCTAGCCATGTGCCACCTTACCAAGTTGTCCTAGACCGCTTCACCTTTAGTTGGAGTCTATACAACTCATTACAACTCTATACAGGGCAATGGCAATGGACCGCTTGATGAGTGATGGGAGCGGACACTATCGCTGAAGCCTGTACTCTGGTTCCTGGTCTCAGCTGTGATTCTGGTGGGTCAACCCATGACGCCTCCGGTTTCATTGCCGTTGATTGTACCAACTGTAACAGAACAATGCTTAGGGCTTAGGGATGTCAAGCCATTCACATCTCTATTGAACCTGATTTTCTCCACTTTTTGCGCGCTGGCAGGTGTTTTTTCTTGCGAATTTATATACCATGTTACCATGTTCTGAGGTTGCAAGACATGCACCTGTGCAGCTGTTTCCGCAGTTCCGCGGTTGCTCCAGATGAGACCTACGACACTTCTGGTCGCGATGTGGTTTCTGTGGAATCAGAAGACAGCAGTGACCGTCCTGGACATTTTCTACGGGGCATCAGCTGCCTGTACTTTGCCGACGGCTTCATTAAGGAGGCATGATTTTTCTTGGGGCATGGACGCTGAGGACTCAGCAAGTGCAACAATCTGACCACTTTTTGGCTGCAGTTTACCTTGAACACTCCGTCCGCAAAGACTGCTATTCATTGCGCAGTTGCTTGAGGGTGTCCGACTTTTGAATTGTCTGTCATGTAACTTGTAAGTGAGAGCACGTGCACATACAGCACTGGCAGGTGATAAGTGCTGGCCATGACCGCAACGCTTCAGTGCGTGAAGTTGAAGCAGACGTTATCCGTAAGAAAGGCCGATCCAAGTTGTGCCACTGCGTGAATCAGATTTATACCAGTTATATCCTTTTATATCCCTATATAATATATATATACACATATCCAACAGAATGCAACAGCCCATACTGTACAGTAGATGGACAAGTCTAGGTAGATCAAGAAGCATAGATCTTGCTGGGATTCTTGATTGCATTTGAACCATTTTGAAATTAGTTCTGCTACAGATTTCATAGATTTTTATAGCAAGGCGAAAGCATCCTTTGTCCAAGAGATGCACGTCCTGGCACCTCCTATGTAGATGCAGTTAGCGGACGGCGGTGGGGCCAGGTTGAGGTGTTTCGTGTAAGGAACAAAGTAGATACACGGACGAGATTTGCCAGTTCAATACTTGCACATGGGCTTGAGTTGAAGGCATGCTCGAAGATGGGAGTATTTCATCTTGCAAGAATAAGTTTCGGAAAACAGGTGAATGCGTATCAACTCAAGCACCTGCGGCTTATGAGAGTCAGCTGCATCATGATACTGGAGATGAAAGGTAGATTTGCGAAGTTTACTCTGAACCTCCGACAGTTGGCAGTTCAAATCCATCATTTCAGGTTTTTGCGCAACTCGGCAGTTGGGCTCTAGTGGGATCAAGCAACGCCCGCAAGATATTGCAAGTGAGATTCGGCCACGGAAGACACCTGCCACAACGAAAGCGAACCAAACTGCCCTGAGTTGCCAGGACCCGATGCTGCGAAATCCGAGTTTATGCTATCATACAGCTGGGGATATGGTGTTGGCTCAATTGCAGACACACTGACCGACTTCCTCGGTAGCGATGAGCACAAGTACGTGTGGACCCTCGCTCAAGCATGCGGGTGTTTGTATTGCTTTTTGTCTTGTTAGAAAAAATCCCACAAAGGTACATTTGTGGCCACGAGAAGTTGCAACTTTGAAAACCCCACATTTTATTGGCTCTGAGGCCCCGGTCCACCAATAACAACGGAGTAATATCCAACAGATCCAACATTTCTTGACGGCAGTTTCACGGTGTTTGTTTCCCTGAGGATTTGTTGTCTCTGCATCAATCAACACCGTGTCAAAGAAGCTCAGGACGGGAAATGAATGTGTTGAGGGTGTGTGTCATCAGGATCTCACTGCTGGACCCGCGTAATGTATTGCATGGTACGGACAACAGGCGAAATGCCAGACTTGTTGGACTTTGCATGTGGAGTTAGTCAAAGATGATGAACAGATACTGAACATGTTCCATTCAATACCCATTGCTTGTTTTCAAAAAGAACATCAAACTCCTTAGATATGTCTCAAACTCCCCAAACTCAAGTGACTCAAGCGCAGGCTGCTGGTCATGTGGTTCCCTTTGGGATCTTCAGAAAGGCCTTCAGTCAACGTGTCGAGGGCGTCTCGCACATCTTGGCACCTCGGTCCGGGCTCTGATGGTCTCATGATGTCCATTGTCCATTGGTCATTGCATGTCATTGCATGTCATTGCAATATATTGCATTTGCTGCATTTGCGCTCAATAGATTCAATTGCAATTTGTCCATTGCAATTTGTAGATGGCTCATTTGATTGCATTTGGCTCTTTTGATTGCAATTGTAGATGGACCCCGTGAACCAATGGTATCATGGGACCGAGTCCTTGTTTAGTTTCGTACGGCCATGAACACAGTTCAACAGCCTTTTGCGCAAACATTCTACATAGTTTCTGTGTGTGTATACGTGTATATATATATATTATATGTATATATGTAGTTTTAATTTTATATCCTGTGACAGCAACTGCCCCTCTTTTCTCGCGTCAATGGCGATAAGGAAAAAGGTATGATGCCCTCAGCAGTATATACTTTCTTGATTTTCGCGAACAAAACCAGTCTATTGTGTTACCCATTCTGGTTTGTGGACTCCTTTTTGTTTGAGTAAGATTCGACTCCAAATAATAAACCCCCCAGTTCCACGGCTGGCCCATCAGAAACACAGGGAACAATTGACAACTGAAGTTGAACTGCAGGCAATGATGAGCCCGTGGCAACATCCTTTGTACATCCAGAGAGTTTGGTGTGTATTTGAATTTAGCCACGCCATTATGGAGAACAAGGTTGGCTCAGGGTTTGCAGTGAGGGTTTCGAGAGCATTGCTTCCTGGGATTTGTTCGCATGTCAGAGTATGGTTTCCGGTGATGACTGGCTTCCTTAGAACTTTGCATTCAGTTTTTCTTGCAGATGGCTTTCACAGTCTTGGTACTAGATGTTTGCCCTCCTGCAAGCCCTGACATTGGTGACAGGAGCTTTCAGTGCTGATGCCTCCAGACGAAACCACGGATTTTGCTTCAGTTTTATTTTTTATTTGTTTCCTCTAATTTTTGGGTATCGCAATGGTTGACAAAACATATGCTTGTCAAATTCTTTTCACTGCTTGTCTATTTTCTGCAGGTTTGGAGGTTTGTGGCGGAAAGAGTTTGATAGTCTTGTCTCGTGATTGCTGTTAGTGCCTTGAATCGAAACTCGTTTCTGTCCCCAGGCTCGTCTCCCATGTTCCCCGCATTTGTTCGTCCTTACCTTGGCGCCTGACAATGCGTCTGTTTGCATTGTCTCCCGCTGTCTTCATACCAGTTCTCATTGAAGCCTTGATATACCAGTTCTGTTGGTGCAGCGGTCTGCATCCATTCGCATCTTGAAAAGCCTCGGCATTCCACATGTCTCCACACACTTGTTCGGCATTGCTCGCGCTTTAAGTTGAAGATGTTAGCCACTGAAAACCTGCTTGCTTCATGTTGTATCATTTGTCTTGTTCAGCCAAGGAAAAGGATGCCTTTCGTTCTGCTCTGTTCGCTTCTGGCCGCGGTCTGCGAGAACTCTTCGAGGGTTTGTCCAAGCTGAGAATCCAAGACGCGCAAGCGTCAGTGCCACATGATAAAGAACACATCATGCAAACCATCGACAAGGCTGCTGAGGCAACAGGGCAGGGCATAAGGAAGGCCGAAAACTGCTGGATTGAAATGTGTGTACCAATGGTTTGAAGTGTACGATCTCAATCATCCTGTGTTTGTGGGCAACGTATGCATCATATTCTTCAACGCATCCTCAATTGATCCTTCACATGCACTTGAGTCACCCGCATTCCAAAACAATCAGTTGAACTGGAGACAGTGTGCCAGCTCGAGCAGTTCCCACCTGGCCAGGACTTCAATAAGTCGCCCAAAGTGGCCGCGCTCAACCAAAGTGTCAAGGAGAAATTGCTGCTCAGAGGAAATCCACAAAGCATCACAAAACACTTCCAGTCTCTGCAGTCCAAACTGAACGTCCTAACATATCCATACATATCCTAACATGAGATAGGCTGATAGGATCTGATAGGCTGGTTTGTAGTCGGTCACTATCGGTCACTTGTTTCAGTGCCGGCTCAGGCAAACCTGGTTTATAGCGACCGCTGCTGCGTGGCTGGAAAAGAAGATATCCTCTGGTGACTCTGTGAAGCGGTTGCATTTGGATGGTGATGCAGTGGTCATTTTGGTCATTTTGGTCACCGGAAAACAAGGAGCGTTTCAAAGAGAAAGATCGTACGGGCCGAGATCAAGGATCAAAAAAAGGTCCGGATTCCGGATTCCTGCAAATCTAGCAGATGGCAATAGTTGAATTTTTGTAGAGAAGTATCTTTGCCTAGTGAGCTTCGCTGATCTAGTAAAGGCATTGCAGTATTGCCTTGAACACCACGGCTTTGAAGCACTGCAAATGCTCCGTTTAGACTATGTTTGGGTTACTTGAGAGCACCCGACAACTGGGTAAAAGGGTCTGTCCAGTCAAGGTTCCGATTTGTGGTTTCACCGCAAATCAACAAAGAAATCCTTCCAATTTGTCAAATGGGTCGATCAAGGTCTGAAACGCGGCCCGACAGGCTCTAAACCAGTAGCGTAATGATTGATTTGTTCTGCTTGGACAGTCAAGGCAGACATGTCGCTCGTCAAACTCTTCATCCCCCAAAGGAATTTTATGCTGCAAGGCTGTAAGTGAGGGTTGAAGTCAAAAGGCTTTGAGTGGAATCAGGAATATTTGGCAACAAGACATTTGCGGCATACCAAGGTAGAGTGGTCAATCTATAACTCTGTTGCTGAGATGCTCATGGAAGCTGTAGCAGATTTTGAACGAGCAGAAAACATCCTGAAGGCATGATATCCTCTGGGTGATTATGAGCAGTGACAAGAGCTTTGCTACTATGCAATTGGTTACGGAAGAGAATCTGCAAATATTTGCAATCCAAGAACAACAAATCTGTCATTTGTGTGCCGCTCAAAACCCGAAAGACATTTAGCCTTCAGCCTTGAAGAATTGTCAAGATTCTATTTCTCCATTGTGGAAATGTGGATTCTTTCAGCATGCAGAGGCACTTTGCAAATTGCTGCCGCTTGTTGCCATGCAGGTTGGCATGAAACAACATGGCTGCGATGGTCCTGTGGCAGCGATTTCCATCAGATTGCTTGGACGGAGACTCATCTGTAGGTTTGTGCGAGCGCAGGGACTTTGTTTAGGATTTTAGGGGCATGGGCAACATATGCATAAATCATCATAAATCTGCATACATGTTGAATCCGTTTCTCTTTTTGTTTTTTTTAGTGACTGTTCGAGTACTATGGTGGTCCCTTAGTTGTTTGTCTGATCACTTGGAAAGAGCAGTTGCTCCGCGATTTTCCTTTGTACATGGTAACATCGAACAAAGCATCCTTCTTTTTCTTCCAGTCGATGGAAACAGCTCGGTGGAGCGAGGATGTCCATTCGCAAGGGTGACTATAGTCGTGCAGAGCAGCACTACACACACGCTATGGCATTGCTAGACGCCTGCAACTTGGTTAGCATCCTTTTCTGGCAGCTCTAGGCAGGATTTCCATGGATTTCCCCCTGTTCTGTCATCCTTCCAGACGAAGCATGCATAGGGAACAATAAAAGACATTCCAGTGCCTAGTCCTTTACTGTAGTTCTTCTTTGCACTCTCCGGACAAGCGAATCCTCGGCTACAGAAGGTAAAACACCATGGAAGACCCAACACTCCTGTATCGCAAAAGATCAGAAGTTTTAACTTGTGCTGTGAGTTGCAGCATGGTTGTTTTAGTGCCGCCACTGGTGTGTTTGATCCAAGTGGTTTGGGGGTAAAGCGGCAACTTGTACTGTATCTTTCAGAACCATCAGAACATCGGGCAGTGAACCAATCTCAGTGGCACTCCCTTGAAGCCCGACAAGGTAACGAGAGTATGTCAGTGCAGTATGCCCAGCTGTTCATTGATAAATTCGTCGCGACTGGAGACACTGTGCTTCATGGCAGCTAGCTGGGATGCAGGAGTTGTGATGAAAATTACCACCTGATGGACTGTGCTGTTAGAAGCGACGAAACTATATACATGAATCTACGGACTATTTTACCATATTGTAACAATTTGTACCATATTTTACCATGGTTATAGCTTGCAGCTCTTCATTGCGTGTGGCAGAAGTCAACCATCGTGGGGACGTTTGCACCAAATCCTGTGAATTCCTATCGTACCAGAGACAATAGTTGTCATATGCTGTCATACAATGAATGCATAGTGAGGCATAGTGGCCAAGCAAAGTTGGCACCACTGCTTACCTCAGGTAATTGCATTTGTGAAAGCATTTGATACTGTAGTGCAAACGTCCAGATTCTTTTTCCAAGGCGCGAGAATATTCAGAGATGGAACAATCAATATGATTAATATATATTAATATGATAAACAAGAACCACAAGAATGAATGTTACATGATGTTACATGTTTCTTATGTTTCTTGCTTATGTCGCCTATGTTACTATGTTCATCATCCAACATCGGCCCTATAGGCTCCTGAATCGTGCCAAGCAACTCTTCGAAGACCTCAACGAGTTGCCCAGCGAAGTGATCCACGGGGCCTGATCTGCCTTAATTCTTGTTAATTATTGTTAATATATATAGATACTGATCTATAATATCCAGTTAATTTTTGTTAATTTTTGTTATCTTCGAGATTCTTCTTGTTATTCTGTTGACAGATTTGACAGGGATTCTGTGATTTCTGTGTGGACAGCTCTGTCTGCCCCCAACGAGATACTGGTGGTATCAGCCTCCGATGAAGGACTTGGCCAAAGAGCACACCGGTTTCGGGAGCTCCTTTGGGGAGTATATACCAGCTGGAACAACAAAGATTTGGTCAGAAGCGGCTGCTAGAAATGTTTGAAAAGTACCACTAGCCATCATTCGACCCTCACTTCAAGTTACTTCAGATCCATTCCCTGCAAACATCTGCAAAGTACTAAGGACAAGTTGCGAAGACTACGCGCGGCTTCTGAAGCACATGGGGACTGTGCATTTGGGCGAGGGTGATTTGATGCAGGACGGGAAACCCGGGTGCCAGGTTGGATAAGCAGCAGCTACAGGACAATTATCCGACTATTTTGTGATTGGGATGTATGATGTATGTAAAGTTATTGATATACATAGAGAATATGTGTCTGAATTATTTGTTGTAATATCAATCATTCTCAATTCATGCTAATTGCGCATCTACAAAAAAGTGATTTGTCACACAGAATTGTCAATAACAAAGTCCAATCTTTTTAGGGTTCGTTTAGTGAAACCTTGTGGTGTGTGGTTTTGCCGTAAAGAATTAGCCAAGACAGTGTCTGGGACTCTTCAACAAGATCCTGGGTAAAGAATTTGCTTTGCATACTTCCATCATGGAATTAATGCATTACTTAAATATTCCACCCAAACTAGTCAGTCTTCCCCCGTCGCGTTAATCTTTCGTTCATGTCCGCCATGCCTATTTTTCTTTCCGAAGCCTGGAGTGTCAGGCGATGAAATTCTACGCACTATCAAGATCTCACTACGAAAAAGGTGCATATTTTCTTTTGGTCGCATGATACAGGGCTGGCTGCATTGTGGAGATCGAGTTCGTGAAGATAGGGGGTAAATTTGACCCTCAAAGTCTCTTGCTCGTATATCCGAATCAAAGATCCCGTTCCACGACCTTCGTTGCGATATTTTAGTCATTGAACCTGTGGGACTCAGGGCAGCTCAGACAAAGCCCTGGCTTTGCAGATCTCATGGTGAACATGGGTAGATTGGAGGCACACGCAGCCAAGATGTTTGCACTCGGAATGCTAGCAGGCATCAAAATCAATGTGGAGTGGTGCTTTTAGTTTGAGCTGCACAGACACTTGCAAGGGGTTCGTTGGCCATGCTGCTAGCATGGTTTATTGACTCAGTGAATGCTCGCGGATGTGGTGTGAGTCTTTTCAAGTTGCCTTTGTGGGAGTCAAGTGTCATGTGATTGATTGCGACTGAATTTTCTTATTCCTCTAAATCGTTGCACGCTTGGGACGGTGGACTTTGGCTCAGCTTGTACTTGTGCCTCCTAGTTGTCTCTGGGTTTTGTCCAGTCTGTTCCTTTCAGTGCCCCAACTTGTCAGCTTGTCTTGGGAGCTGAGGTCTTGGTACTGAGACGTTGTGGGATGGGGTCTTGTTTGGCCGATCTATGGCGATCTCCATTTTTCACAATTTGTTTGCCTGATGTTTCCATTGGTTGCTATGTGGCATCCTGTCTCACTCTTTGCTTCTGTCGCCTCCCTTCAAAAGGCTTGTATAAAAATAGTTAGTTATCAATGTATACTACGTACGCCAGAGTTGAACAGAGCACACTCAGTCAATGTCTAAGGGCGGCTCCTGTAGAAGCATATGCTTCAAGCATAAATCTTGTTGCCACTAGCTTTGTTGCGAGGTGACGCTGGAAGACAATTGGAAAGCGCTAGAGGCATTTGAGGAAGCTCGAAGGATCTATCAAGTGTCTTGGCAGTTATTTATCGGCCACAAGTGCCCCACAAGCATATTTCACAACAGTGGAAAACTCATGGCTTGTGCAAGGCTCATTCATAACCCACGCTTTGTTTGATTCAAAACATGTCTGCCGTACTTTGCTGGAGGTTTGACTAAAAGATCCAGTTCCGTATGCATTCCCGAATTTCTGACTGACATTGGTACAGTATTTGTGGATGTCAACCTGAAAATGATCATAAATGAGCTATGCTTGGCTGCTGTTTGTGGCAGTTTGTGCTGCTCGCCAAGAGGCCATTGGTGTGACAACCAGTCCTGGATATGCAGACCTGTTGTTAAACATGGGACATCTTCAGGCAGGGAAGTGAGAGCTGCCCATAGGCCTTAGGGACAGGGACGTAGTCTGAGAGGCCTGAGAAAGATGTCAAAGCACAATGGCAACCCGCACTGCTCATGCAAATCTATCTGTTTTGCAAAGATTGGGGGAAGATAGGGTGTCTCCACCTTGCCTGTCCTCAATATAGAATAGATGTGAATAGATTATGATTATATATGCCTTTACAAGATCTTTCGCTTATAATCTTTCCAAAATTCCTTTGTTTGATGAGAACTTATGAGGGTTTGTCAGTCAGCTGCAGATTTGCCAGAAGAAGATGTGACCATTAGATCATCGTGGACTCCTCGCTGAAGGGACACCTGCTATGATGTGAGGCTGAGAAGTTGGAGAGACCAGATACGGCCTTGACATCTTTCCGGGAAGCTTGTGATGTCTACGACGCAGTGGGTGCTAGTGGCCTTGCCGTGGCACAGGCTCGGGTGGTTTTGCGCTGTGACGACAGGGCTGCCAAATGAAGGACTCCCAGGTCCCATGGACGAGCAAAGTCGGGGCTGGAACTTGAACGAAATTGTATTGGGCCTTTCATGAGAGCGGCAGGCATATTCAAAGTTGGGGCAGATGCTAAACAAAGCGGGGACTCCAGAGAAAGCTGCAGAAGCTTGGCCGCTCTGTGCCACAGAACCTCCAAAGTTAGGTCCATCAGAAATCAGAAGATCCCAGCCCAGCCGAGGGCGACTGCTGAAGCCCAATCTGTGTAAAATCTTTCCGCAAAATTCGGAGCAGTTTCTTTGTCGTCAGGACAATGTCTGGGGATCTGGCAGTTGCTCAAGACGACTGATGCCCATCATTTTTTCCCGAGAGCGCCTGCGAAGGGTTCTTCGTAAAAAAGCAGCCGTTATACTAGATCTTCACACCTTCACACCTGCAGATCTAGATCTTCACACTCTCACATCTGCCGATCTACATCTTCACCCCTTCACATCTGCTGATCTAGATCTTCACACCCTCACATCTGCAGATCTAGATATTCACACCTTCACACCTGCAGATCTAGATCTTCACACTCTCACATCTGCCGATCTACATCTTCACACCTTCACACCTGCAGATCTAGATCTTCACACCCTCACACCTGCAGATCTAGATCTTCACATCCTCACATCTGCAGATTTAGATCTTCACACCCTCACATCTGCAGATCTACATCTTCACACCTTCACACCTGCAGATCTAGATCTTCACACCCTCACACCTGCAGATCTAGATCTTCACACCCCCTGACACCTGCTGATCTAGATCTTCACACCTTCACACCTGCAGATCTAGATCTTCACACCTTCACACCTGCAGATCTAGATCTTCACACCCTCACACCTGCAGATCTAGATCTTCACACCCTCACATCTGCAGATCTACATCATCACACCCGCACACCTGCAGATCTAGATCTTCACACCCTCACACCTGCAGATCTAGATCTTCACACCTTCACATCTGCAGATCTCTTCTCGCTCTTCTTCTATTTCTCTCTTAAGGCGGGGGCGGTGCCGCCGGAGCGCCACGAAACGCAACCCTTTCGCACGAAATGGACGTTGGACGTCCAAAACCTAGGTAAAATTGCGATTTTGAAGCGTCGCCGGCAACCCTTTCGCACGAAATGGACGTTGGACGCCAAAAACTGAGGAAAAGTTGCGACTTTGAAGCGTCCCGCGCAACCCTTTCGCACGAAATGGACGTTGGACGTCAAAAACTGAGGAAAAATTACAACTTTGAGGTGTCGCGCGCAACCCTTTCGCACGAAATGGACGTTGGACGTCAAAAACTGAGGAAAAATTGCGAGTTTACTTAGTCCCGCGCAATCCTTACGCACGAAATGGACGTTGGACGTCAAAAACTGAGGAAAAATTGCGACTTTGAGTTGTCAATCGCAACCCTTACGCACGAAATGGACGTTGGACGTTAAAAACTGAGGAAAAATTGCGACTTTGAAGTGTCCCGCGCAACCCTTACGCACGAAATGGACGTTGGACGTCAAAAACTGAGGAAAAATTGCGACTTTGAGTTGTCAATCGCAACCCTTACGCACGAAATGGACGTTGGACGTTAAAAACTGAGGAAAAATTGCGACTTGACTTTGTCAATCGCAACCCTTACACACGAAATGGACGTTGCACGTCAAAAACTGAGGAAAAATTGCGATTTTACTGTGTGTAAAAGCTTCGGTGTGTAAAAGCGTCTGTGTGTAAAGGAGTCTGTGTGTAAAAGCTGCTGTGTGTAAAAGCGTCTGTGTGTAAAAGCGTCTGTGTGTAAAGGAGTCTGTGTGTAAAAGCTTCTGTGTGTAAAAGCGTCTGTGTGTAAAAGCGTTTGTGTGTAAAAGCGTCTGTGTGTAAAAGCGCCTGTGTGTAAAAGCTTCTGTGTGTAAAAGCCTCTGTGTGTAAAAACGTCTGTGTGTAAAAGCGCCTGTGTGTAAAAGCTTCTGTGTGTAAAAGCCTCTGTGTGTGAAAGTGTTGGGTGTAAAAAGTTCTGTGTGTAAAAGCTTCTGTGTGTAAAAGCTTCTGTGTGTAAAAGCGCCTGTGTGTAAAAGCTTCTGTGTGTAAAAGCCTCTGTGTGTAAAGGAGTCTGTGTGTAAAAGCTTCTGTGTGTAAAAGCGTCTGTGTGTAAAAGCGTCTGTGTGTAAAGGAGTCTGTGTGTAAAAGCGTCTGTGTGTAAAAGCGTCTGTGTGTAAAATCGTCTGTGTGTAAAAGCGTCTGTGTGTAAAAGCGTCTGTGTGTAAAGCGTCTGTGTGTAAAAGTGTTTGTGTGTAAAAGCCTCTGTGTGTAAAAGCTTCTGTGTATAAAAGCCTCTGTGTGTAAAAGCTTCTGTGTGTAAAAGCCTCTGTGTGTGAAAGTGTTGTGTGTAAAAGCGTCTGTGTGTAAAAGCGTCTGTGTGTAAAAGCGTCGGTGTGTAAAAGCGTCGGTGTGTAAAAGCGCCTGTGTGTAAAAGCTTCTGTGTGTAAAAGCCTCTGTGTGTAAAAGCTTCTGTGTGTAAAAGCCTCTGTGGGTGAAAGTGTTGTGTGTAAAAGCGTCTGTGTGTAAAAGCGTCTGTGTGTAAAAGCGTCTGTGTGTAAAAGTGTCTGTGTGTCAAAGCGGCTGTGTGTGAAAGTGTCTGTATGTAAAAGCGACTGTGTGTAAAATCGTCTGTGTGTAAAAGTGTTTGTGTGTAAAAGTGTTTGTGTGTAAAAGCGTCTGTGTCTAAAAGCTTCTGTGTGTAAAAGCGTCTGTGTAAAAGCTTCTGTGTGTAAAAGTGTCTGTGTGTCAAAGCGTCTGTGTGTAAAAGCGTCTGTGTGTAAAAGGGTCTGTGTGTAAAAGCGCCTGTGTGTAAAAGTCTCTGTGTGCAAAAGCATCTGTGTGTAAAAGCGTCTGTGTGTAAAAAGAGTCTGTATGTAAAAGGGTCTGTGTGTAAAGCGTCTGTGTGTAAAAGGGTCTGTGTGTAAAGCGTCTGTGTGTAAAAGTGTTTGTGTGTAAAAGCTTCTGCGTGTAAAAGCTTCTGAGTGTAAAAGCCTCTGTGTGTAAAAGCGTCTGTGTGTAAAAGCGTCTGAATGTAAAAGCGTCTGTGTGCAAAAGCGTCTCTGTGTAAAGCGTCTGTGTGTAAAAGTGTTTGTGTGTAAAAGCTTCTGCGTGTAAAAGCGTCTGTGTGTAAAAGCGTCTGTGTGTAAAAGCGTCTGAATGTAAAAGCGTCTGAATGTAAAAGCGTCTGTGTGTAAAAGCGTCTGCGTGTAAAAGTCTCTGTGTGTAAAAGCTTCTGTGTGTAAAAGCGTCTGCGTGTAAAAGTCTCTGTGTGTAAAAGCGTTTGTGTGTAAAAGCGTTTGTGTGTAAAAGCGTCTGTGTGTAAAAGCGTCTGTGTGTAAAATCGTCTGTATGTAAAAGGGTCTCTGTGTAAAAGCGTCTGTGTGTAAAAGCGTTTGTGTGTAAAAGTCTCTGTCTGTAGAAGTGTCTGTGTGTAAAAGCTCCTGTGTGTAAGAGTGTTTGTGTGTAAAAGTGTTTGTGTGTAAAAGTGTTTGTGTGGAAAAGGGTTTGTATGTAAAAGCGTCTGTGTGTAAAAGCTTTTGTGTGTAAAAGTCTCTGTGTGTAAAAGTGTTTGTGTGTAAAAGTGTTTGTGTGTAAAAGCGTCTGTGTGTAAAAGCGTCTGTGTGTAAAAGCGTCTGTGTGTAAAAGCGTCTGTGTGTAAAAGTCTCTGTGTGTAAAAGCGTCTGTGTGTAAAAGCGTCTGTGTGTACAAATATTTGTGTGTAAAAGTGCTGGTGTGTAAAAGTGTCTGTGTGTAAAAGCGTCTGTGTGTAAACGTGTTTGTGTGTAAAAGTCTCTGTGTGTATTTGCGTCTGTGTGTAAAAGCGTCTGTGTGTAAAAGCTCTGTGTGTAAAAGCGTCCGTGTGTAAAAGCCTCTCTGTGTATAATAAAAGCGTCTGTCTGTAAACAGTTCTGTGTGTAAAAGCGTCTGTCTGCAACTTTACGAAAGATACGATGCAAACTATTGTCTTGTACTTGTAATATATTGTTTTGAAACTACTCTTCTCGTCTGCCTATAATACATCTTCAATATATTGTCTTGTAATTTAGTGTCTCCATACTAGCAACAGAAGACTTTGCTCGTCTACGCTCTCGGGCCATCCGTCGTCTAGTTGTTTTTTTAATTTCTAATGACGAAGTAATGGCGGCCAAGTCTGTGTTGATTTTGGTCTGCGCTGACAAGGAAGCATATGGGCGGGCCAAGAAGGAGTATGAAGCCTGTGGTGAAGTAGATGGGCCGGAGTACGAGGCTGGTTTCTGCAGGGCTGCTTGTTGAGAGAGTTTCGATGGGAAGGAAATGCGTTTGACATATGTTTGACATGAACAGACACCTTTTCGACTGTCAAACCAGTGTTTGCTAACGAAGCCCTGTCATCCATGTTGGCATTTGTTTTGGTAGTAAACAACTAGAACATTGCTTCTCCCTAACAGTCTGACAGGAAGCCCGCGAGTTCTCGTTTCAGGGGAAATTCCCTGTGGTGAAATTCACCCCTGAGCGCAAGTTCATGCCGCCTCTGAGTGGAGATATAGGCAGAACAAAAGCTTCAGATATCCCAGACATCCCAATCCGTGGCACAATCCGTGGCACAATCCGTGGCACGGTGGCGTCGTTGCCACGGAGCCATGCTCGATGACTGAGGTTGGCACTGTGTGTGCCTTCGCTGTGTCCTTTTTTTAATCGCGACCTCAGCAGTGCCCAAATAGCCAGTGCCAGATATGTTTTTGTGATAGTTTAAAAGGGAATCTCACGTTTTGACTGGTTTTGACCATCCTTTGGGCAGAGCTGACTTGGTATTTCTCAAAGAGATATGCCAGGATTGGTCCGTTGATTCTGCGCAATAGACCAAAAGACTCGCTCTGTCGTAGTTTGGTATCTGCTTGACACACACACACACATTTCCTGGGCATGTCTTCTTCAGGGCACATAGATGCAATCCTTGTTGCAAGATCAGACCTGAGACGTAAAGGCTGCGAACATTGTTTTGAAAATTATCCAGCACTTTGCCTTGATCTGGTGCACCGGGGTCTTGATGAAAAGGAACCGCTTGGCTTGAAAAAGCTGTTCCGGCCCCTTTTAACAATCTCCGAAAAGATTGTGCTGTGAAATGACGCTGTCCTTTCAGGCGAGACTTCCATGTGCGGATGCTTGAGGAACCTACGGTTTCACTTCAGAGGCGCAAGACTCATTGAGACTAGCAAAGTGACCAGTGCGCAAATATATCCACAATTATCCACATATATTCAAACATTGTATGATCAAGCTGCAACATCATTGGATGAAAAATCTGAGTAGGCGGGCAATTGTTGGTTACTTCATTCAGCAAATGCTGACCCGTAGGTTACGATACACGCGCCGTCGTAGCCCTGTGAAGCTCTGAAGCTGTGCCTCGAGAGATGGCTTTGGGCGAGTTGGCTCACAAAGTAAAGCCTGTTATGTTCTGTTTATCCTCAAGGTTGATCGATTCACCGATTTGATTTGGCAAAGAGAGGCAACTGCCTTGAAGCCCACCTTCTGACCATTGTCTGTGCAGATGCGAGAGCCAAATTTGCGTCGAAATTGAATTTGTGCACTTGGCAACAAGTTGAACTCACGCAGTCGTACCTTTCAATGAGATCAATGAGCAGGCAAACTCTGAAGTGTTTGCGTCATCAACTTTTTCCCGACCTTGTCCCCCACTTTTTGAGCACTGAATTACCGACTTTGATGTGGTCGTGTCCCAAAATGGAGCCCCTACAGTCGGTGACGCGTTGCTATTATCTTTTGACAGTAAGCGTTGGGGAATACAGTCGTTTGTGTTGGGACTACCATGAGTTTTGTTCTTAATAGTTTAATATCATCAAGCGATTCAACTGCATCGGAGCAGTCTTATCAATGCTTCTTTTGTGCGGCTTGTCGTTGACGCGTCCTGGCCAAACGGGGTGCTTTTGGCATGTCATTCCAAGGCAAAGTACTCCAAAGCTCTTCACAGCGAAGCCCTTGCTGACGCGTCTGATGCATCAGTGGCTTTTTGTGGTAGGTGGGAGACACTGGATTGATGGATCTTAAAAAGTCAATGCCCAAAAAGGAATGAGATAAGAGGCAAATGGCATTTATATCATAGTATAATATATACTTATATTATATTACACATATGGAACTAAATGTGCATATGGGCATGTGAGTGCACATTCGTACACAGATACATGCATGCATTTTTATTGTGTATAGCAAATAGCCCTTTCGATTGTTGTGCATCTACTGTGGTCGGGCAGGTTGCGATTCTTTTTGACACTGGATGACCACTTAGGTCCTGTCAACAGGTAGAGTTGTCTGGGATGGGGACACGATTGTGTTTAGCCTTTTGCTTAGGCCCTTTTATTTAAGCGAAGGTCTTCAGTTGTTTGTTTTGTTTGTACAGTGTTTCAACATACACTGGGAGAATTTGTGAGGATCCATCGTGTAGAGCTATGCTTTCTGATCTTTGTAGCTACAGCAAGCAGCCTTCATGGTGTAAAGGGCACATGGTAAACATGTTTATTTCCAGTCAGACACTCGATGCAGTGGCGACCAAGAGGCGTGACGGTACCTATTGCCGGGCCTATACAACATTCATAATGAATGAGGTTTAAAGTATATAACTTGCCAGCAAAGACTGCCTTTGACAGTCCAGTCTTTTCAGAGAAGAGCTGAGGCCTTGCAACCTCCCAGCACTCGTGTGAGCTAACCGTTTAGGGGTACCTTACATCAGACATTCTGTTACATCTTCTGTCATATCTGTCATGGCCGAGGTGGAAGTCGAGAAAGTACACCTCGCCGAGTCAAAGCTGTTTGAAACTTAGCTCCTGCTGCGATATTGACAGTCGGACAGTCCTCCCACTGCATGCCGGAAGTGGCTGCAGTTTAGCAGCAGACATAAGGAGGAGTTGAAATGGAATGTTAAAGATCAGCAAGCTCATTGGCTAATGCATGTTACAAGCCGGCCAGTGGAGCTCAACTATTGCGTGGCGCGACATTGAGGTCTGGAAAGAACGTGGGGAGGAGGACTTCGGAGTTTTGGCAAGCTGTACAGTAGAAAATGATGTGATGACGGGCCGCAATTTTGGAAGTACAGATATCCAAAGGGTTGCAATTTCACAGAAGGGGTTTGTTCAATGATCACGCGGGCTGTTGACTTTGCGACTTAACGTATTTCTGCCAATCACAAAGACACAATCAGTTTTAGGTTTCCCTGGTGACTTGTATAATTCCATCAGAGTAAGGCCAGAGAGTCACCGCAGGAGACGGGAAGTCACAACAGTGGGCCCAGTGATGAAATGACAGTTGGGGATCCCAGTCCAAGTATTGAAGCCATCTGCCGCCAATGTTTGGGATTGTTCATGGCTTTGTTCATGGATAGTTCGGGGACCTGCCACTAGGCATACTCAGGGAGAGCACCTGGATTTTGAACACGTGATCAGCTTGAGGTACTTGATGTGCTCCACTTTCAACCAAACCCCAGTGACTGGATGTTCAGGCAAACATAGACCCGGAGCAAGTGTGAGCCGCAGTGGGATGCATCGCGCAGCGTGGGTGTATGAGACTATGAGTATGAGCCTATTCAGCTATCGCGGTATTTTCGAATTCCATTGAATGCTTCATTATCACCAACCATTTCAAAGCGTTGGCTTTTTCCCCGTGAGACATGCTTACCTTCCTTGGCAGCTTTCCAGCCCTTTGTTTCCTGAACTGTTTAGGTGATTAAAAAAACTCTTCACCCGCATCAGCACCCACAAGAGTTCCATCATTTTCCATCGTTGCATTGGACATCTCCAGTCTATGTCTATACTACCCATGTTCCAGGGACACTCCTTCAATGAGTCTCCTCACTGAGGTTCCAGCTGTTGCGGAGTCCCCTTGGGGTTTACGCGGTGGACAGGACACAACAGTCGCGTGTCAATGAAACAGAATCCCAGGGATCTACCTGAACTTCTGAACCACTTGCCATTGAGCATCTCCAACAACATCTATACCTTTCACAGGAAGTCATGCGCCAAATTCATTGGAATCCTAGGTGAGACACGGTGCAGCGCCGATGCAGGAAAATTGGACGGTGACGGTCATTGCCTCGGCCGACCATTCAGATCAGGGCCTGTCACCGGTCCAAAGCTGAAATAGGACGTTGGGGTAAGAGAATTGCAATTTACGAATGCTAAGTAATTTGCGTCGTTTGCTTTGAGCATGGGTGATGTGTAACCAAATAGAATGGGGTGATATGATGTGATACTAAGAGTTTACTGATCACACATTTTGACTTGTACCAATTGCCCTTGATCGAAAAGGAAACATGGGCATGGGTTGAAGCTGGTTTTTTCAATGGTGTTTCTGCAGCTGGCTCACTCCGATGATCTTTCAATACTGTATTCATGTATCATACGTAATGAAATTCACACATACACAGCATCGAGCCCAAGAGAATAGCACCCACAATTTTGTGCTCACTCCAAGGGCATTTTCCGTGCAGCGGAGGCCTGATTTTGGCGACTGAAGTTCTCTATGTGGAAGTGGTGTAGAAAAAGAGAGTAATTGGACTAGTGGAAAATGAGGTTGTTTCCTTTGATCGTACCCATGGCCCATTCGGCTGCTACTCGTTACTCCACTACCCAACAAGACTGCAACAAGAAATAGTGCGCAATCGCTGTTTCATGGCGTCATCATGCTGTTATTACAATATTTACGAAAGGAGACTTCCCGAACATGACACTGGGAGTTCCCAAACAGGCAATATGAATTAGTGTGGCAATTATCAACATGGCAAGGCAACTCACTTCAAAGAGACTCCACGTAGGCCAGATTCCGATGCTATTGGATTTGGAATCTGAATCTTTGACCCGAGCGGCACAAGGCACCTGATGTTCACAAAGGTCAGGGGTACCTAGATGGGTGTGTCGTCGCGACATGTCGCGACTCTTCAATGCTGGGATCTGCTGGAGCATGGAACATGGAACTGCCGCCTTCACTTTTCATTTTCTGGCAGGAGGGTAGAAAGGCATTGAGTGGTCTGGTTGAGAGGGATGCGAGTCATGGAGGTCGCAAAGAAACCCTCTTTTGCCAATTGCCGTAGTTTCTACGCTTCTTAGGCATTGGATTTCATTACCATTTTTACTGCAATACAAGATTATATGATCGTAGCACCTTTTAGAGGCTCCAAAGGCCAAAGCGTAAACAGCAAAAGCCCATTTCATCTCCCTTCAAAGCAACCAAACACTAGTAAACTCGAGGTCTAGTTTCTGTGTGACTTGATGCAAGAATTAGAAGGGCAGTTGCAAACCGTTCCTGAATCGGTGCTGCCAACCGTGACAACCAAGTGTGTTTGCCTTAGGTCCGGATCCTCCAGTTGTTCGGAGCTTAGTGTGGAGGTTTGAGTTGGACCTGCGCTTACTGCTTACTCAATCTTGCTCATCACACTTTTTAGTTGTTGCCAGCGTGCCAAACAGCTGTGCGTCTAAATGATCAGAGTAAATGTGTCAATCTTGGAGATCCCCGACCATTTCGGGGATTTCCAGCACGTGTCACTTATTTCATGGCGGGGTGGCATTCAGGGGCTGCCAGATCTGCAGCACTATGCAGAGGCGCACCATGGGATTGTGAAAGCTCAATGAAGACCGGCACAATGGATTTCTGACTTCACTTCGGAGGATTGGTATGGCTGTGTGTCAGGACAAGTTGAGGATGGTAATTCTTTCTGACCAAGACTCAGATTATTTGAATTCCCTTTTGCCATGCAGCATATTGCACCAGGTTGAGCCGAACAGCTTTGTTCCGGAAGAGGCGGTAGACACCGGAAAGACGTGAGGACCAAAATGAGAACGTCATTCTGTTGACCTTTTATATCATATTTATATCCCTTTATCATTTTTTGTCAGCCAGACATCATCCTGTGTACTGCTTGGGCCCCCCTGCTCAATGGCAAAAGGTTGTGGCATCTCCTCGCTCTCCTTTGTCGCCGTCTGGAACCCCAGGAGCTGGGACAGCTGAGAGGCAAGTGATGCACCCAACGCTTCCAGTGTGTTTCGCGAGAGTTCTGTTTCTGCTCTGCACATTGTTGAAAAACTGTCTGTAAACAATACGTATGAGAAAACGAAAGGTGTGAAATCGAATGCTAGCCGCTTTCAAGCGAAGAAGTCGCCGCCTTTCGCTTTTCATTTTTAGGCTGCCTTTGGCCTTGCAGTATGAAAATCACCAAGCAACCGACTTATGCAGAAACGCTTCTGGCCTATGGCCTTCTACGTTTGGCTGAAAGGATCATGCCACGTTTTTATCTCGCCTGAACCAGGTGATGGCTTCATGTCGCTCCTTTCTAGAGCTTGTTGTGGGCATGCCAAAACAGGAACTCGTGGTCAAAGGGCCCGATGTTGGGAGAATTCGCCAACTGCAGCAAGTTTGGGTCCCTCTTGAGTGCCTGGTGGCGTTGACTCAAGGGTAGAACGCTTTCAATGATTTGAGGCACCCAGATGATTTGGTGCCATCTGAACTGCGGGGAGGTGGGGTGAGCACTATAGATTCCACGACAGCAAAAGTCAAAAGAATCAAAAGAATATGATTTCTATTGATGAACATCTACACTGTCTACACTTTGTTGGTCACGCAGGCGATAAATCGCCAACGACTGTGCAGGACGCCAGCGATGTTTGAGTGGTCCGGTGGTTCGGAGTTGCAACGATGAAAGTAATATGAAAGTTATATGGAACTATGGTGGAACTAGTTTGCGATATGTTGCTATATGAATTTCATGAATTTGCGCATTGTAAAATGTGGTGATGCTTTCCTAAGACGACAGGATGGGTTTGAGGATTACAGCCAGGACCCCAGCTGCAGCGTCCACCAGAGCTGATGGTTAGTTACAGTGAAGGGGCTATTCAGACGCACGTTCGGACAGATGCTTGTTCCATCTTGTTCTCCATCTTATTCCTTATATTCCTTGTTCCGAGATGCGCAGAAGTGTGATATAAGATCCCATCCAGTGTGATCAAAGGCCTGGGGATGCTGCCTTTTTTAAAATTTGGTGAAGCTGAGGCATTCCTTTGGAGGTGCAGAGCTTGGATCACATTCAGTTGATCGATTGTAGTCAGATGGTAACATGAAAGGATAGTTGATCAGGATGAAGTGCAGATTTGTATAGAGATCATGACTAAAGAAACTGTATTCAGTGCAAGCGCATAAAATAAACCTGCTATGAAATAGGTCTCATGACCGGTCCACAACTTGTTTCATTGGGATCTTTGCGTCAGGACGACAAAGACAACTTACACATTTGCTTGCAACATGTTCAAACTTACAACCTCTGAACATCTCAACACATCTCGACACGTCTCAACTTGGTATTTGTCGAACCGCTTCCAGTTGTTCTTTGACGCGGACAAGGGATTCTGCAGATTCCCTGGGAAGGGCAATGGAAGGGCTGGGGATCCAGGCACCACCATCCAAGCCAAAGGCACCGCGGGCCTTGGGGAGGACATGGGAGGACATGGGAGGACATGGGAGGACCATGAGGACCATGGAGGCTTGTGAAGGCCCTGTGAAGGCAAGCAGGCAATCATGCCATATCATACGGCCACAAGGTGTCATAGGTGGGCCGGCAACGGAAAGATGAGCAAAGTCCTATCCCGGAGAAAGTAGAGATTACTGAGCTTAGATGATCTCAACATCAAGTCTTTATTCTACATCAAGGTAGATTATGTGATCACTACAGTTACTACAGAAGCCGAGGAGCTGTTTTCTAATCGCGGGGTTGAGTCATTTCCTTCTTTCTACAGATCAGCATTATGGGTAGAACCACTTGGTACTTCATGAAAATGAGAATGCCATCTAATATCTATTGGGAGGCTTTAACCACCTAACATAGTGACGTGACATGGGGTTGGGTTGGGTTAGATATATAGGTCATTTCTTCCTATACAACTGTAACGAATCGATCCTATCGACCGCCTTGCAGGCTCCAGTACCGGCAAAAGGATCAAGGCAAAAGGGCAGGGGGGATGCGCAGGCTGCAGTTAAGCGAATGCAGGGCTGGTGGCTGGTGGAGGCTGGTGGAGAAATTGAAGATATCATAAGATATCACCTCCTACCCGGATCTACCCGGCTTCTCTCATGTTTCGCAGCTGGTGATTCATTTGGGGCAGTATCCCCAACATTCCTCAAGGATGTAGCATGGAGGGAGCCATTTGCGAGGTAGAGCCACTCGACTTACAACCCGGATATCGCTGGAGGTGGTGGAGCTTTGCTTGGCGCCGTGATGGTCGTGCTTTGGATTTGCCACTTGGTGCTGGGAAGGCAAGCGGGAACGTGATCAGATGGACATGAATATGAATGAATCAAAGATATGAAAGGTAAGGACCACCAGAATGATATTCTCTAGCTGGATTGCAAAGATGTCCTGGCAAACACCGGTGTATCACACCATATAGTACGACCAGCAAAGCGGTCTTCAGCCTCGGAAGTGCACCGAAAGTGGAGATCCCTTCAGTGTCAACTCCAAGGACCCAAGCACTTACGCGACGTCCCGACATCACAGTTGCATTGAAAACTCACCCCTTTCGCTCCATGATCTCCATGAGACTTGCTTTGCCCAGCGTTTGTGAATGCTGGCCAGGAGGGCGATGGTGATTCACTACCAAAGGAGCCGTGGGCTGGTGGGCTGGGGATGCTCGTTGTAGAATGATAGTGGAACTATGTGGAACACATCCTGAGACAGTGTTTTTTTTTGCTATGCATACCATGGCATTATCACGTTCCTGTTCACTGGCACTTGTGACTGCATTTTGACTGGATGATGGAACAAAGAGAGATCACAACGATGGGCGGGGACAAAGATGAAGAATGTGAATACGAGAAGAGTCTAGTCTTACAATTTTAGAAGCTGGGGACAAAGTAGTGTGAGAATCCCTTACAAGGGCAATCAGTACCATTGCACCTGCTCAATTGAGTGGCCGCTGTGCTGAACAAGCAACAACCTTGCTTGAGGATCAGCAAGTCAAGCTGCATAGCTGACTAATGCTGACTACATGACACGGCGTCAACACATATCAGCACCAGCACATGTTTGACATTCTCTGACATTCTTTGACCATATTTTTTGAGCTTGTGATCTTGCTAGTTGGCCCTTCAGGGCTTTCTTTGGGCGACACTTCATTTTACTATCTTCTGCCCAAACAATGAAGCTCAAACACCATGGTTTGTTGCACTCTATGAAGCCGGGCAACCCTGTCAGTCGAAGTCAAGCTATTGTTAGTCTACATAGCCTTCGAGACAAACTCTTTAGATCCATCTACAAGCTGATTCCCAACCACCTACACGTCCTACACGTAATATATCGTAATATTCTAGTTCTATGATGTTCTGTGATTTTCTATGTGCAGGGACTGGGGACTTGACTGGACAGCGATGAAGCAATGTTCATGCGTTGGCATTCGAAGCTGCGCGCTTTGCTCCGACCCATCTTTGCGAGAGGCATTATGAGTATGGGGGGTGAAAAGATCCAACAAAAGAATTCGCGTCTGAGTAAACTCTGAGGGAGATCCTACACTTCGTAACCAGGCCTAGGGAATATATGAATATGATCTCTTGCCCCACACCAAAATACAGCCGCACCTTTGACATGGTGTAGAGTGTAGAAGCACTGGATTCGAGAGAAAAGGTGTGAGACTGGTCAACTGCCTGTTTTTTTGCTTCAGGGCTCAGCAATCAGGTCAGGTGTGGTCCAATGGTAGGTTGTTGCGTCAATCCAAGATTGCTGATCTTGCTTCTCCATTATTTTCAGATATTTTCAGTACACATCTACATGTGATTTGGCAGATCGCTGGCTCTTCGAGAGCTGCTTGTATAATGACTTACAGTAAGTCGGGACGCATCTCTCAGTTTTCATGTTTGTCCAAAGCCTCCCAAGTAGCGCAGTTCATACTCTGGCAGGGCCAGCCACAAGCACCAACACCAACTGTTCTGGTTGAATCCCTGTTCTTCATCAAGTTGCTAGTCCCTGTCTGTCAACTGCAGGCCTTTGGTTTGCATCCCATTCGATCTGAGTTGCCGCACTGTGCCCAGTCATCAAGTTCAGTGATATAGGCCGTGGGTCGCGTGGGCGACGCCTTTTCTAAGCCGCCTCAATCGTGAGGGTCGAATCAGCACTCGATAAATTGTTGCCAAAACAAAGCTCAGAGGCTTACAAACCAACGTCACGAATTGCAGAGTTGCTTCCTGCACACCAGTCATCCCAAAACCCGACAAGGCTGACTAATTTAAAGATATTTAAAGTTGATAAAGATTTGCAGCCAAGGTGCAGCGTGCTATGACTTGATCGATGCATCTGTAGATGGTGGCTGTCAGCTGCGCGCAGAAGATGGGCAAATTATTTCTGGAACTGAGCCTTGCCAAAGTCTGCTCTCTCTCTCTCTCTCTCTCCCTCTCTCTCTCCCTCTCTCTCCCCCTCCCCCTCCCCCTCCCCCTCCCCCTCTCCCTCTCTCTCTCTCTATCTCTTGGGAAAGCTGTATATTGAGTACTGAGGGTCTCCAAGATTCCAGGGTTGTGGTTGTGAAAGCGGAGTCTTTTCTTCGCAAAGTGGTTGGAAGTGTAGGACTGAAACTGAACACTTGATTGATAAATGATTGATGAATGTATGTCACGCTTGATTTGTTGAGCGATCTGAGGATCTTCCAGTGGCTTTTGAAGGCCTGGAGCTGTTCGAAGAAGTGCTTCCAGGTGGTGAAGAGATGGAGAGGCGCAACACACGGGGCGCACGGCCATGGTTCGGAGCTTGAGAGTCCTGTCAATGACAAGATCGGAAGGTCAATATCGAAGCCATCCAAGTGACACAAGCAAACAACCATGGTCGTATCATGTTGTATCATGTTGTATCACCCACAGAGGCCTAGATACCCCCCTCTTTCAGGCAGATACTTGAGACTTTGCAATCATGGCCGTGGCAACCTTCCCAAAGTGGACGATGGAAGCAAGACTTCGGTCCAAAGGCCAACTTCAAAAAGCAGCAGGTTAAGTTGCCAGAAGCTTTGAGATGTGTCAGCCGAGGGATTGGTGTCATCATTTCATCTCACTTTTAGATCTTTTAGGTTGGGGATGGTTGGGGAATGCCAAATTTTCTTACACCTTTTTGCACGCCTGCACATGGAATGCATTCTGCAGGCTTGTGCATTTCACAGACATTGTGAACTCTGGTCCCTTTTGGTTCCATCGTTTTTCAATGTTTTTCACCTTGCGCTTCGGCGTAACTTCGACACCCAAGGACACATGGCAAGGCTTCCCCAGCTGGTCTCACGAGCTACTGCAAGCTATGCAGGAGAAGACCACTACATTAGAGACCTTCGACGCTGTACTTGGGCTGCATCTTGCCAATTCTACCATTTCTAGACCATTTCTGTGTACCAGTGGAGACCTTCAAATTGCAAGCCAGACCGGAACAACGCTTCAAAGGCTAATAAGGAGCCAATTTGGCATAGGTTTATAGGGTCATAGGCTTTTTTTCCATTGGTACCATTCAATCAGCCACCACAGATGTCACAATTTTCAACAAGTGAAATCACAATGCATAGACCATGATAGATCATATGAATCATACCGAATCATACCTAGTGTTTGCAAGGTACCGAAGGCATGTCGTGGTACTACCGTAGGATACCGTAATTGTTGAGACTTTGGATCTGAATTCGGAGGTGACAGCCACGATCGCCGCAGGTCGAGTGCCTATCCTTGTGGTACGATGCAGAACGGGGAGCTAGCCATGCACTACACGTGGATGACTTGTGGCTTTGGGGCGAGCGGATCTTAGGAATCTCCTTGCAGAGTCCGTTACTCGATCCAAGAGTTTAGCCATGTTTAGCCATGTTTTGATTGTTATGGCGATGTTACGGTAATGTTTGGATGTGTTTGGGGTGTTGGCATGAACCCGTGGAACCTCTAACTACTTGCAGAAATCATCAGAGCAGCAGTTGCAGGATCTCTTGCAAAACCGACATGAGGCGCATACATACGCATGAATGACACTTTCGTACTTGTTTGAAGATGCTCAGAAGCAGCCACTAATAGCCACGCAGTGCATGCAGGTCGGTCTTCACTTTCTTCGAGCCCACTAATGAGATTTGTGTCAGAGTGACGCTGCCTCGACGATCTGTTTCTTGACGAATTTCATAGCTCCATGCTCCAACTGATTGCACCTCAAATCGTGCACATCATTCCAGACTTTCCCGCAGAGTAGTGAGAAGCATGACTGGCACAACCTTTCATGTATTTGATGAAGGCTCAGGGCTCAGGCAGTGCGAACTTACTTAAGCATCATACCTTGGCTGTGAACAAATTTGATCTCGCCTTTGAAGTGCAGGAGCCCTTTGTGTTGTGGAATGATGCACTCAAACCAGAAATCTGAATCTTCAAGATTTAGTAGTTGCACTTCCACCTGGCCTGTTCGAGTTTGCACCTTCAAGGCGACTATCTCCCCTGCAATATCCATGACACACACACAATACACGTAGAAACCTTCATCGTATTTGGACGCTAACTGCCGGGAAGATATTATAGAATTCCTCTGGAAAGGTCATTGTCACACAAGCAGACAAGGGTAGAAAATTGATATGAGTGCATCAGTGAGTCAGTCAGGCAGCGAGGCAATCAATCAATCACTCAATCAATGACTCAATCGGTTGATTGTTTGATCGATGGGTTTGTTGTTTGTTTGTTTGTTTGTTTTTCTGTTCTGTTCTGTTCTGTTTTGTTCGGTTTCGTTTTGTCTTGTTTTGTTTGTTCGTTTGATTGTTTGTTTCTTTGTTTCTTTGTTTGCTTGTTTGCTTGCTTGCTTGTTTGTTGGCATGCATTTTTAATCATTTTTATATGCTTGTTATTGGTCGATCGATCGATTGATTACATGTGTTTTCAACTAGACCCCTTCTTTCCGCACCAAGGACCATGTGACTGTGAGAGACCATCCTTTTCAACACTCCTCAATAGTCCATTGAGTCCATAGTGCAGGAATTGTTGCCAGTTGATTGCATGAAGACTGGCACATCGGCTAGAACTGTGGCACTGTGGCAGCTTCTGAGGCCTACCTGATCAACGGCAGAGTGCGGGTGGATTGGCAGCATGGTACCTCTGTCGCATTTGTGCAGTGAGAGAACAGGGTCCGCCAAAATGCCGTGGAAATTGGAAGCCACTTTAGGGTCTGCCATTGCAACTGTCACAGTTTAAAGATGTGGATGTAGTTGATTGCAACTCAGCCATTGACAAACACTTGGCGATTTCTTACTAAGACTTATCATCTTCCACGACATAGATTTCCATCATGCTTTCGCACAACGATTTCATGTAGGGTCATAGGGTCCATCTCCGAATTTCGTCCCAGGCATCCTGGCAGAGGACATCAGTGGACCTCGCGTGGCGATCACCTACCGGGAACTGACGCCCGAAATTGCCACCTCCGAGGTCGGTCGCATGGCGCTGGACCGAGCCAGGCGAGGTGATGCTGACAGTGGACGACAGTGAAGACCGTGACGAGTGTTTGATGCGGGCGTTGAAATAAGCCCTGAAGTTTGCCAATAAGCCTTCCATCTAACGATCTAATGGTATCTACTGGTCACTTTCTGGTCACCATATGTCTCCATGGTTTAAGTTGCAAGGTGAGGTAACACCTTCCTCAGCTGTCCGCTCAAGGTTGGTTGCACTCCCTCCAGAGATGAGTGAGAAATGCAGCGAGGGTGATGCAACTGCTGGGGGTTACAGAACAGCGGTGCCATGTGACGGAGGAAAACAGGATGCACAGGTCTTGATGAAAACTGGATTGCCAAGAATTGCTAAGAATGACTCTGGGATCCAGACAAGTACTACAAAGTGCGCATGGAGAAAATAAACAAATATAAAAAAGACAGTAAAGAGCAACGGCAATAGCAATAGCATGCAATAGCTATCTAGACAGCGAGTGGAGATTTCCCGTAGACCCAGCTGAGATCAGCTGAGCTTCTTTCTGGGGTTGGCGGCAAGGTGGAGCTTATGAGTATGAGTCAGTATGAGCGGTTGTAGCCCCTTACCCTGTTGTAGCAAGATGCATCAAGATGCTAGGCTGCGCACTTGTTTTGAGCCAGTAAGAGGCGTATATAAGCGGAATCCCGGCATGAAGATCACACCGACAACATCCGACAACAATTCACGAACGTCGAGTTAATGGTGAATACAGTCAAGATTCGGCTCTGCACTTGCAATCTCAAGTGCTTAAGACATGACGTGCAGTTGAACTTGCCTTTCTTCGGATGTCAAGAAATTGTCAGGGCACAAAATTTGTTTGCGTCGATGTTCAATACACCGTCTTACCATGTCTTACCTTTCCAGCCAGAGTCCATTGGTGAAGCAGCTATCTTCTTCAAACTAACGATCGTTTGATCCAGGAAGCGCACACTGAGAGTTGGGGCGCTCAGATCTTGTCCTGCGCTTTCCGTGCTCAATGCATTTGATCTTGGAACGCTCGTAAAGTGGCAAAGCTGCAACTGCAAAGACTCAACATGAGGGGCTCTTGGTTAATGATGTCTAATACACATAGGACCTTCTAGCATGCACGCAGCATCTTATAGCATGCACCATTTCGAAACATGCACTGCGAATAAAATGGAGAGTTTGGCTTGTTATTTGGTTGCACTTTCCGGAGTTTGTTTTGGGTGAAGACTGAAAGCTTCCAATGCTTGTTCAATCGACGCAGTCTCGTGCCGGATCAACAAGAAGTGTGTACTGAGAACAACCCTGGCGACACTTGGGCCATTTGATATCCCAATGAGTCATTGAGCGTGATTGACACGTCAACGGCTCAAACACATAGCGAACACAGACCTGCACCTATAGCACACGTAGATTGTGACTCCCTTGCAATCACAGCACCATCAGTACCAAGGTCCGTTAGTAGGGAACCCAGACTTGCACAGCTGTCACTTTTGTGCAGGGTTGCAGATGGGCGGACAAAAAAAATCTGCCGTCCTCGCCCCTATCTCCACGGTGTGGATGACATCAACGGGACGCAATGGGACGTTCTTGTAGAAGGCAATTTCTACATTTTGCGGGCTACTCGAAGCCAATATTGCTGACTACAGCTTATTCTTCTTTGGACATGCTTGACGCAGCCAACCCATCCAGATACTTACTAACCTGACACCATGAATTACTCACTCGGCTAGGAGGAAACATTTTTAGCAGCAGCAATGACATGAACAGGATTTTTTGCATGCTGCATATGTCTTTCCTGTATCCGTCTAGATAAACATTATTTTTGTGCCATTTGGATATTGTCCCAGCTTGAAGCCCCAGGCTGGCTATGAGTCTGGGAGCAGTAGTAGCCGTTCGAAGACTTAGAAGATGGTTCTGTGCATCCGAGTTGCCTCACGTCATGACTACGTCATCACTACGTTGTACTAGTAGTGATACAGTGATACATCAGAAGAAACAACAAGAACCAAGAAAGGGTGAAGAGCAACGCTCCTGTCATACCTGCTTATAGTTTGCAGATGTCCAAATCTTCGGATTGTTGACCCTTCTAAGATGAGTTGAGCAACCCTGGTTATACAAAGGAGAAATGGGTCACATTTGGAGAGTCAAACTCTTGGACATATTTTTATTCTGGATGGATTAACCGCCAGCCAATGATTTGATGAGGATGTATGGCAACGTATGGAGTTCCGCTGGTTTCGGCCTTTCGGCTAGTGTTCATCAGGTGTGAAGACACCCTCGGGCTCTGGTGCTGCTGTGGTGGCAGACTGAGAATGGGTTCGTGTACACATTTGCTGCAATCTGATTGTTTGAGATTATTTCAGTGCAAAAGGGGATTACATGTTCCACTCCACTTAGTAGGACGTCCTGAGTAGGAATAGGCAAATTATGCAACCGCACAATGTCATGGCTCTGGCTGCGCATTTCGGGCATTTTGAAAGGTGGCAGCGCGTCGGCGGGAGGATAGTGACCCTCCACTCCAAGGAGTGTCCGGAGCCTCAGAATGATGCAGGACTAAAGTTGTGCAGCTCTGTCTACAGATGCAACTCAACCCACGAAAAAGCTTCCGTCTCAATGCAGAAAATCATGCATGTATGACAATGTATGATGTGTAAACTGTGTAAACTACCAGATGAGGTTTCTGAAGCATTCCCTTTAGCATTTGGATCATTTAGAATTCATTTGAGATCGATGGCTCGCCAGCGCTAGACTCTTCTTGAAAGAGAATGAGCGGCGATCTGTATTTTTTCCACGCTACAGTATGCTACAGTAGCCGTTCTATTCTTCAACATGCCCCGCTGCAGCCTAGGCTAAGTATCTTCCACACATCTAGGCCTGCGAAAGCCTTGAGGCAAGAAAGTGAAGACTTCGTGCCAGAGCTGCTGACTCCGCAGACCAGCAGGTGAAGCACCTGGACTCCACAGTGAAATTAACGATTTTGAAAGATACAAGATGGATCAAGAAGAATGTCAAAGATGGTACACATATGCAAAGGAATTAGAAGATGTCCTGAACACTCGGAAGCATTTCCTACATAACCTGGAGGGCTGGGAGGAGCATTGATAGTTGCACCATGTTGCACTGAGTTTGGGAGTGCACAGAGACATGCAACCACACAAGGATAGCAGCTACGCGAAAAGGGTGCTGAGACGACGGCAAAAGCAGAATAGGAACAGACACACTGTTGTGTCATATGAAGTACATAGCTGAAAGTCGCAAACTGCAAACTGTATACTGTATACTCGGATATTTCGGGTTTATCAGTAAATGGGATTAGATATGGGATTAGTTCAAAGAAGGTGGATGAGCTGAGCAAAAAACCAGGCGAAATCGCAGTCTCTTCGGCTGGCGTCGGCGGCGTGAGGACGGCACGGGTTTGTGTTTGGTGGAATCTCCTCAAAATATAGGCGCTCGAAGTGTGACTGACCCAAAAACAAGAATGTGACGAAGGGAGCATTGCCAAGGGTTCCTTCAGATAACTTCAGATCCTTCAGATCCAAAGCACTCTTATTTTCAATGGCCATTTCAGGAAGCTAAATTGGAGGTACCTACCATATATAAGGCCTATGTAAGGCCGATGTAAGGGAATATCCCCACAGAATCCGGCCTTATATGGTACAGTACCTCCATCAATTGGATCCTGAAATTCCCATTGATATTTGGAGAGGATGAAGTTCCTGGAGGTGGAACTCCTCGGAGGCTCGTTGAAACAGAGCTTTAATGACTTTAATGAAATGGACTCCTATGGACGTGGTATCATATTCCTATGATCTCCCATGACTCCCATGTTCCCTTTTCTTGGACATTTTGCTTTCTTTTAGGTTCTATGCATTAGTAGCATTAGGTTTGGCTCAGAACAAAGTGTAGAATCTCGCAGCCGGTCTGAATGGCCTCGAATTGAAACAGTGTTTTGCTCACACAAACGCGTGTATTAAATTGTATTAATGATTCTTAATGCTTGTTCCAGTTTGCATGACAACAGTGTCCAGGCGGTCGAAAACGCCTAGCACCATGACAACTCTGCGGGAGGCGCAATATGTTCATGCCAGATCTTCTGTGTCGCGAAGAGACGTTGCACAAATGTGTACAATATATTATTGGGATTCATCCATCTTGACGAAGGATGAGTTTTCTCTCTGAAGTTGGAACGATGCATAGCAATGAATGAATTCTTCAGGGTCAAACTGCGTGCATCCAAATTATTCCAACTTGACTTTTGACATCTCGATCAAGGCTTGGCTTTCCACCCTCTGCAATCTGACTGAACTGTCACAAGTACTCCCAAAGTACTCCACACGTTGGCCTTGCACATTTTTTTTTTCCAAATGTGTGTGTGTACACAGTCATACACAGTCTGTGCGGTGTCTAACGTACGATAATCTGCAATGGCTAGGAGGCTGAAGGCTCAGATGAGCGCCCTCGGGCAGGCCTGGCCGTACGTGTGACATGTGTGATCTACAGAGACAAAATATATGACATGATACAATCCCTGTATGACACGTATAGAATGTGTAGCTCATAGAACTTTATAAAGAAAAACAATGAACAACTTGTAGTAATTATATAATAATAATACTAATAATACTAATAATAATAACAATAATAATAATACTAATAATAATATAATAATAATAATAAATAATAATAATACTAATATATATATATAATATAATAGATATATACACGTGAATTCACTTCGCATATCTATCATCATTTATCAATATAATATAGCTGCATGAATCTGCCCTTCAAACTCGCCATATAGCTTGATCCTATACACCTGCAAGGCAGTGTATGACATATTTCACTGAATCTGCACAATGCATCTCTTGACTATGCGATGGAAGCATTTCTGTTGAACTTGTGCCATGCTAGGCATGGTGGAAGCAACCCAGGCGAGACCTGCCTGACTCATGTGAAACTGACAAGTTGTGGTACCTGTGGAGTCTCTCGGTGCACTCAGCCCAGAGGTCTACCATGACTTCTGTGTTGAGGTATCAGATACTTATTTGGATATTGCAATGCAATTGCTGGCATTGTCTCAGTCCGGTGTCGTTTGAAATTGTCTACACTAACTAGTTGCTGCAATGTTACTTTTCAAGGAAGCTACAGCACCTAGTTGACTTGCAACCACTTGAGGTTTTTGCAAGATCAATATTTCGCGTCGCATTTCTATTATAGATTGCAGTTGGCTTTGCATCTAGAGGATACAGATATGATTCTGCTATGATCATTTACTCCAGCTATAAGTAGTGGTTGGCAGCAAGGATTGAAATACCTTTGAAGACGTTTCGAAGACGTTGATATATGTTGCCCCAACTTTCTCTTTGGTGAATCAGCCTCGTGTCAGCAACACCATTGGAAGGAGGACCACAGTAGTTCGCTCAGATTTTTGTGGCGAGGAGGCAGACTTGTCTTGGCGTGGGAAAAGGACACTCGGAAAAACTCAGAAAAAACTCGGAAACATGTAACTAAGAGCTACTGATATGCTTATACAGTAATAGTAATACACTTTAGTTATATTAATTATCAGTTATTTTTCGAGTCTTCTTTGTGCTTTATGTAATGGCTATGATTTATGATGATTGCGAATTGGCACCAAGCCGCTCCCTAGAGCAATCAGCTGGGAAGTGTCATACTCTGGGGATTCTGGGGATGCTTAAGCCGTGACATTTTCTTGTAGCCTGTTGGTTAAAAGACAAACTTAAGCAAACTTGCACTGTCAGCGACCAGCTACTGTCCAATGTAGCCCCATCCCAGCAAAGAGCTCCATGGGTTTGGTGTCGCTTCTCAATGGGTTCAGCACCACAATGAATCAAACCAGCGCCAGGGAATGCTCCGCGTGAAAGATCCACCGAAGCATCAGCATCTCCACAGGAAGAGGTGCCAAGCAAATCTTTAGCAACGCCTTTGAACATCTGAAAGATCTCTATGGTTAAGAGGTGATGAATGATGATGGTTTCCAAACCAGGGTGACTTCTAAGAGAGCTGACATAGACGTGCCCTCATTTGAACATTGATTGATTGGTCAATCATCTTGACAAGCGAGTCTTTCAGCAGAGAAGCCTTAGCTTGGTGAATATGTCAACATGATCAATCAAAGATGTGAGGCCTCAATGGTCTCAGTCCCCTGTAGTTAGGAATTCACACGCAATCTTTTCCTATTTGTAGTATGCGCCCGAATTCTCCCATCTAAAGACATGATCGATTTCACGTATCAGCCGTGCCAGGGTCAACGAGAAGGCCTGCCTGTGGGGGGTGATGACTTTATCGTGTAAGGGGTGGTGTGATGAAGTAAGTATTAGTCAATTCCCAGGAGGTGCGCATCCTTGGTATCCTTTTGGCTATATTGCAATCAGTGGTTTGAAAAGTAAGGGGATGCGCAGGTGCAGACTCGTTGAAAGGAGAGCAATCTAACTTGGTATTATGAATCCATTTTTGGCAATGCTCTGGAATGCTGGATTTGAAGGGATCGTGCGCCACTTGCCAACAGGCCGTGCGAAAGACAAGGAGCTGACCCAACTGACCTGGGACCTCAAGTACAACCAGAAGATACATGAAAGTACCATGAAAGTATACCATGACTCATATGACTCTGAAAGGGGGAATCGGATTAGCTGCTAAAGGCCTGACCTAGGGAAGTAGATGAAGTAGAACATTTGGTTCTACAGCTTGCTGCCGCTTGGTGTCAAGTTGGATCAGAAAGACACTGAGCAGAGACAGCAGAGTGGGTGACAGCATGCAGTGCATTGGGGGCGAGAAACAGAACGTATCAGGACCGTATAGTAAGATATAGTAAGATATAGTAAGTATACGATAAAGTATTGAGAAGATTTAAGAAGTATAGTGACGAGCATCGGCCGAGTGGCAGGATAGCCTCTTGCCCGCCTTCTTCCGTAGAGCCAGCAGAGACAGGCCGGGGGCCTGGAAGCGAAGTAGGACTTCGGTAAAAGAGCGCAATGGGATAAATATTGACGATCCTCTTCCGAAGACTATCCCATGATTGGCACTTCTGGCCTGTTTACAGTAGGGAAAGATGATTTTGAGCAAAGAATATTTCTTCATGTTTCACACAGATTCCGCGTGCATATATACATTACAAACACATATGATCCCATGCCTCCCATGCATATGTGTGATTCCCCAAGAAGCCAAAGGCATTCACATTAGCCCTTCTCCAGTCTCTGTTGCCATCCCTGTTGCCTTCACTGTTCCGGTCCCTTTGCCACACTCCAAGAGTTTTTAGAGCAATGAATTTGATATCAGGCTGCCGACTTTGGATTGAGAGGTTTCTTTTCAGATTTTTCAGATATCATAGTGTCATATTGAAGTTTTGACAGCAGCTTCGTGTCATCTTATGTGAGCCCAATCTTGCTTCTACTTGAGGCCTCGAGTGCCGTCCCATGCTGGGGTCCTCTCGACCAGTTTCCATTCTGGTGATTTGTCATTAGATCTGAGATTGTATTGTCATTCTTTATACTGTAATATCTTATTTTTGATCTTACTACATATTACATTTTTTGATTATTATTTTTGATGATTATATATTAACTTTGTTTGATCTTTCTTCTTTGATGTAGCTCAGCTCCATTTGTACCAACTCTTGGAAGAAGATCTAACAACGGTGAACTGGCAATGCTGGATGTGTCCTGCGTCAGGATTTCCAACACGAAACTCTGTGAATCCAAGTGCCAATGCTGGGAAGAAGTAAGAAATATATAGATTATTAATATTTATTAATGATTATCATAGATTACGAAGGTTACGAAGATTTACGAAGGATAATCATAAGCTGTTGTGGACTATCTTTCTCAGGTCAAGGCAGAACGACCCAACATGTTTCTCTTTTCATCTTTTCGTTTGTTCCGAATTGTTCCCCCAAGTGGGCAACCCTGCAAGGCAATGATCATTTGGTCAGATGGACCTGTGCTACTATTCGAAGTGGATACATACTCGTATCAATCAGATTGTTGATTTATCCGACCAAATATCTAGCCAGCAACTTTTGCCGGACTTTACTGCATAAATTTTGACTTTTGGCAACTGCACACTACGGGTTTGGAAAAAAATGATGGTTTTGGGTTGGAAGGGTTCGAAGATGTTCGAAGGTTTCAGAATCGTGGTATCGTGGTCTGTTGGTCACATGTGGTCACTGTCCCGTCCCAGCTGTAGCCTGCCAGGACTCTCCGCCTGCGGACGGCATTGGCACATCGCCGAGCGAGGTGCGATCCACAGACTTGGCTCGCCTAGCAGCTCCAATTTCCAGGGCTTACATTGCTTTACCCCAGCGCGAAGGCAAACATGCTGGGGTATTCCCCCACTTTCCAGAGTTTTCGCGAAATCTACCAGCTGAAACAGAAGTATTGTCAGATCGTTTCCGTAAGAGTGTTCCTTTCAATCAATTGGTCAAGGTCCATTCACCCTGAAAGACTTGTGAGCCAAAATTGATCAGTGCTATTGGTGCAGTTTTTCATGGCGTCCCAGCAATGTGATAATGTGAGGGGCCTGGTACCGAAGCTTGCAGCCCTTCGGAAGATGCAAGCTCCAAGGTGGGTACAGCTGGGGCTCAGGGAGGGTCTGTGATCTTGGGACTTGCACAAACATACGCTACATGAGAATCGAAGACATCAAAGCTTGGGCAGCGGGTTTCACTGATCAAGTTGAGCCGTCAGCATCAGCTATCAAGGTTGGGACAAGCAGTCGCCAATTTTTGCCGAAGACATGTCCAGTGGATCAGTATGGATCAGTATGGATCAGTATGGATCCTGCACATTTTCAGTGGCATCAGTGTCGCATCAGTGTCGCACCAGTGGCCAGGCCACTCCGGGCCACACCTCGACCTTGCCTTTCTTCTTCCGTGGCTTGACCAAAATCCCAATGATCCTGATGTGCATGTGGCATCATATAGCACACTGTTTCAGGATAGATTTCCAATGTAACTTCAAATCACTCCCGCAGATGCTTGGAACTATGCTGGCTGTGCAGGATCAGGAAAAGAAATTCAAAAGAGGTAGCAGACAATTTGACGTTTTGCGAGCGCGGGGCTAGTTGGAGGCCATCACTTTCTGATTCTGATTGGGCTCTAGACCTCTAGACAGTTCAAGATGTTCAAGGGGCATGACGGGCATGAAAAAAGATGCGTTTCTTAGACGCTCCCCAAATTTTAGCGTTTCACATCGTTTCACCTGGTACTGGCTGTTCCCCAACTGCACAGATCCTGTCGCTGCATACAGATCGTCAGCCCTCCTATGCTGAGAGGGCACCATTTCGCCGTCGCCTAGGTGCTCCCTGGTCTGCCAGAAGAGAAATGCCAGGGACTTGGCAGTCAAATGCTGGAGATATCACGAGATATCTAAACCTTTGCACATCCAAGATTTCATTCTGCACAGTATTGGACATAAGAATAGTTTTGGTATGCACTTGTTTGGCCGCTTTTGCTTGAAACACTCTCCAAGAGGATAAGCAAGCGATTGTGATGATACCTAAATGCACCCAGATTCAGCTCCCCGGCAAGTCGCCATGAAGATCCTCGAGAAGGTCGTGACACTGGGGACGATTGCACCTTTTAACGTTGCACGCCACATTTTAGATGCTGTGGGGATAGTCAGAAATAGTAACAATACTGTGTTGCATAGTGTTGCATAGTGTTGCATAGTGTTGCATAGTGTTGCATAGTGTTGCATAGTGTTGCATAGTGTTTCATAGTGTTGCATGAGATACATTGCCGTTTCCCTCACAGAAGCTACAGCAATATTTGCAAAGTCAGCGCTGAAAATTCAGATTAACGCACAATCCTTGCCCCGTCAGCCCCTCCTCAGACCTAGGCTATGGAAGGCAACCCAAACCACACAGAATTCTGGCTGCTTCTCTCTGCAAACCGGACAGCAGCTCCAAAACCATACGAACATGTTGGTTCACGAAGTTTGTGAAATGAGAAAGGTGATTCCATGCGTTTGCTCAGTCAGAGACCTCACCCACGTATATAACTCACTCTTCTCAATACCCCAGCCGAGACTGTCATGCGGGCAGGTGAGCAGCTGATGCCGTTGCCAGGAACGGCTGATGGTCAGGAGCGGGCTGTTGCTTTCAGATCTGGGCTTTGCCCCTGCCAAGTCATGCCAAGTCGCGCCAAGTCATGCAAAGCCAACTAGGTGGTCGGCTAGATGTGGATGCTGTGGCAGGAAGCTAGTCAACCCAGCCGGTCCCCTGCTGTATCACCCTCTTCGGATGTGCTCTTCGGGCAAAATGAAAGTGAGGCGCATTGGGCAGAGTTGAGGGTTGTTACAAGCCATGGGGTGAATTAGCGATTTCGAGGACTTCAAAGTTTTTTGAAGTCAAAGTAAGGCTTTGGAGGAAGCTTTGGTTAAAGGTTTGTTAAGGAAATCCAGACATTTGGGGTGGTCATACCCACTCTATAGTGAGCTTTGGGTAAGTTTAGGAAAATAAAGATAGCCTCGACGATATGTCAGAGTGCACCATTTTATAGTGTTTGAAGGGTTTTGGGGTTAAACGTGGGTTAAGTGATGGCCTCTACAAACTTGATATTTTTCATTTTATAGAGGAAAACCCTCTCCAGGAGGGTCATGGGTTCCCATTTTATAGAGGACCCTGTTGGGGGGGATGTACCCTGGCGTTTTGGCCCTATAAAATGGGGACCCATGACGTTCCGACTTAAATTCACAAGGGGTTGTTATGATTGACTATCGCTATTTAGAAATATTTAGACCATTTTACTCCATTTTAGTGCCAACTCACCGACATGGACATATACTGTATGTCAAATTGTGTGAGAGCCGGGTTGGCTGGACATTGTGAAGCAGAGATTCTCCCAGATTTTCGCAATGCTCTTGGAAGAATCAGCAAGATCAGATATTGCTAGCGGTGTGAATTGGAAAATAATTGGCTGCTTATGACAGAATTTTGCGGGTTCCCTCTGCTGAGTGTTGCTAGAATCCCATGAGGTGGATGAAACCAAACCGTCAGAGGATGACTTGCCGGATGAGGAAAAGGCCCAACAGGGCAGACTGAACAGTTTCTAGAGATGGATTGAAATGGAGCCATGTCTCTTGAAACATGACGAAGATATAATATATTATTATATTATTATAATATGATGTAATGTGAACATATGCTAGTAATACACCAGATGGAAGTTGAAGGTCTAGAGGAGTAGAGCGGAAGTGTGGTTGCAAATATTACACATAATATATATAATATATATATATGTGTATATATATATATACATCATTGTATCTAGTTTCATCATGTTTAATCTAGTTTCTAAGCTTAGCCAGGCTTCTTCTGTGTTGAAAAAGGCACACAAAAAGCGCCGCAAACAACACAAAACCCTGGTAAATCCAAGTGCCACCTCAAGACACAATAGCCCGATGACCGAAGGCGGCATTGCAATGGGAACGCTATCGAGCACAAAATCGGAGCCTCATCGGAGATATTTTTGAGGCAGTGGCCGCAATGGGGCGGATTCCGCGGGCAAATCATGGATCATGATTCAGGTGCAGCATCCGCAGGTTGCTATCAAGCGGTGTTTGATGGATTTTGGGACTACAGCAATCGATTTGATCACCTGTAGTCATCCTACCAGTATGTGTTGGAGTCGAGACGAGCACGATCCTTTCAAAAAACAGACAACAACTCCGATATCTCAAGTCTTGTTGCCCCTCGCAATGTGCTGCAAAGAGCATTTCAATCCACAGGGCCAGCTGCGAAGTCATCTTCGATGCAGCTGTGGGCACAACTCATCCACTTTTGAACCTTGTCGTTCCTTGGCATCTCGAACATCTCGAGTTGAAGCCGATAATAACGAGAGGTTTCAAACAAAGTGCTGCGAAATTATTCCCCCAACTGCGACCAGCACCCTCGACTCAAGATCACTCAAGATCACTCAAACATTCGGGATCCTGGAATCGCATGGAATCGCTGCATTCTGAGAGTTCCATGCCAAGGCAACAAAGGCAATGCTTCCATGAGAGTCACTTCCCATAGTTTTTGCTCCGGATGCGCAACTGAGGTTACTTGAGTGTGCCAATACCTTCGAATCATATGGACCGGTGTGAGCTTAAGGTGCCACAATGTGCCACAATGTGCCACAATGTGCCACAATGTGCCACAGATTCTGGGAGTCAAATCTTCAGTGAGAACTCACAGTGAGAACCATTCAGCTTCTGCAACTTCTGCATTGGCTTTGCGGCTTTCCCATCCTATCCCTGCATGATAGATCTAGGAAGCAGAGGGGCACTCCAGGAACAACTCTCCCCATGATTGGAGTGTCGACTGTTTCTGCCTGAAGTCTTGGTGAAAGGATGTGAAAGGCTAGAGCTAGGGCGGCTAGGTCACACCAATATCTTGGTCACACAATGTTGCTTTGTCAATCTTTGTCACACATCCAAGCCACTCAAGAAACTTTATAGGACGTCTTTGCCTGGCCCTGACAGCTGTCACCTTCTGAAACCCAATGGATGACATGGCATGGATTTCTTCGCAGTTGTGTCTTGTTTCAAATCTCTAAAGATGTATAAACACCACTTGCCCGAGCAGCTTGTGCTGCTGAGCCTTGTAGGTTGTGTTCTTTCCTGCTCTTGCATCACCCAGAGACCGGCCTCAGTTGGTGCGCTATACTGCTGCTTGGCACAGTGAATAACAAAGATATTGTGGTATCTGATGTCTTTGAATGCTTCACCTTCATGCCAAAGTTGCACCTGTTTCTTTCGAAGACAAAGGCTTTTGATCGGTTGTTTCACAACCAAATAATCAGATATGATCAGATATGGGAACCCCATGCCACTTGGCACCCACTTTGATCCTAGCCCCCTTCCTGGTGTACTCGTAGGATGGGAGTTACTATTGGGTGAGATGTTAAGAGTAGGATTGGCCAACTGGAATGCACTGTTTGTGCCTTGCTTAGAAAGAACTCTGTCCAAAGAAGGAATATCATAATTGTAAGACAAGAACATTTTTTTTTTGGTACACTGCCGGAACCTGATTTTGATTCTATAAATTCAATTTGTCAACTGCGCCCACCCTTGCATACTCATTTCCGTTCTGCGCCAAGTCACTACCCAAGAAACGCGGTGAAAGAGTTGCTGAGGTGGCTGTACCTAAATCTGGCACCGCCAAACGTGTGGAACCCAGGCGTCATCCCCAAGAGGACCGAATGCTCTTGTGCGTTCTGTCTGTGTGTGCGTGTGAACCATCTGAATAGATGTAAAACTTCTACTCGATTTTCCTGCAGGGGGGCAGTGCACGACTGACAGACACTGCCCAACGAAGACACTGTCAGTTCGTGGTGATACAGAGCCTGATCAGCTCTGCGTACCTGCATCCAGTTTTATTTTCTCGTGATGGGCACTGGCTAAACCAAGAACCACCGTGCCGTTTCATTTCATTTCATTTCATTTGTCCTCGGTCGTTTTTCAAACAGCTTTCAAACCAAACTCGAACCGATGGGTTTCAGGTCAATGTCAGGTGGGAATGATTTGACTCTTGCATCTAGCACTAGTCATGGCGAGGGAAACTTTTCGAACTTTCTCGGGTCTGTTCACTGACCCGTTCCTGTCAGGTATAATTGGAGTTTTTTTGCACGTAACATGCATTCCACATCAGAATTCGCAAAGATTGTTCTGAGCAAGTGTGTGATTCATGCTGGATTCGTCATGGTGGCATGAGCCCCTCGGGGAATGCTTGTCTAAGCAGGAGAGTGAAGCAACGACCTGATCTCTGAATTTACAATCTTCAACCTAGCAATTCGTCTAAGTAAAGTGAATGAGCTGGCCGCTGGCCATTTTTTTCGATTTTCATCTTGTCGACTGTCGACGTGTTGAACACCTGCCCACTGTTCCAGGGACTCATCACTTTTCATTGGGCAGTGCTTGCATAGCCTGAAGCCGCGTCAACACTTCCTTTACTGCTGCTCGAGAGTTTGATAGACATGATTCAACATGTTCAGCATGAGGGATTCCCCAGGCAGGTCCATGACTTTAGGTGTGGTTCTCCTTTCTTTTGATGGTCGTTGGTACGGTTCAAATGTGCACGTAATTCACTTGACTACTGACAGCCGTTTATGGGGTTGACTTGACCAGGAGGCCATTGTGCCTGAATAGGGGACTCTGCATGATTTGTGGATCCATCAAATCTCATCAACTAGTTCCCCATTGGTCCCCTATTTCATGCGTGCTCCCTCTCTAGGTCAGGTTTGGGTCCTTCGCGTGCCGAGGTAGGTTTTGGCTCTCGCCTTGTAGGTTGTGTCAGGCGCTTCTGTCCGCCCCCCGCTCCTCTGGTTCGTGTTTGGCCCGTCGTCCGTCCGCTTTTTCTTTTCCCTTGCCCTTTCAGGGTTTGCCCGTTTTGGGCTAGGTGTGTTGGTGTTGGTGTTTTCCCTTTTTCCTTTCCTTTTTTGCGTTCCCCTCTTGTGTTCCGGTTAAGTAATTGTCATCTCATTTTCATCGTCATCTCATTTCCATTTTGTAAAGTGATGTAAAACTTCTACTCGATTTTCCTGCAGGGGGGCAGTGCACGACTGACAGACACTGCCCAACGAAGACACTGTCAGTTCGTGGAGATACAGAGCCTGATCAGCCCTGCGTACCTGCATCCAGTTTTATTTTCTCGTGATGGGCGGTGGCTAACTCAAGAACCACCGTGCCGTTTCATTTCATGTCATGTCATTTAAATTTGTCCTCGGTCGTTTTTCAAACAGCTTTCAAACCAAACTCGAACCGATGGGTTTCAGGTCAATGTCAGGTGGGAATGATTTGACTCTTGCATCTAGCACTAGTCATGGCGAGGGAAACTTTTCGAACTTTCTCGGGTCTGTTCACTGACCCGTTCCTGCCAGGGATAATTGGAGTGTTTTTTGCAGGTAAGATGCATTCCACATCAGAATTCGCAAAGATTGTTCTGAGCAAGTGTGTGAAACATCTCAATAGATGTAAAGCTTGTACTTTGTTTGTTGCAGGGGGCCCCTGGGCACTTGGATGGCATGGGCCAACGAAGACCCATCCAAGTTGCTGTGCAAACGTACCTGCAATTTTTGAATCGTGATGGGATGTGGCTAACCCAAGAACCACCATGCCGTTTTTCAACGAGAATCACATCAGGCTTTTTGAATTAAGCACATGAACGGATGAAGGTAACTTTTTTTTTAATCTTTCTGCGCAGTTGGCGCAATCTGAGACTGCGGTGAATCTCTTGTCCATTACAATTTTCTGCTTATATTGTGGGATTCTTCCTGGCTTATTGATTTTATTCTATTCTTCAAGGTGGCGACGAAGGAATTTTCCTTTCACTCCACACCAAACCCTCCTGTCAGGTGTAACTGAAGTGTTTTTGCACGACAGATGCATTCACATCAAAATTCGATAAAACAAGTCTGAGCAAGAGAGAGAGTGTGTGTGTGTGTGTCTGTCTGAATGCGTTTCTGGATGCGAGCTCTGGTGATGAGTGGTGATTGCTTGGTGGGGACACGAAAGGCAATAGTTAGATCCGTTCTTGGCTGTAAGATCCCACAAATACGTGTAGTGTTGCATGATTACCCAAGTCCCCCCCTCCCCACATCTCATCTTGACCCCGAAGCTCACAAGTGTGGGCCTAGGGTATGGCTCAATTCTTACATGGAAGGTATTGAATGCACATGACCCGCCAAAATTATCACATTATAACACAGAAGTCAACTTTGCTTGCCTTCACGCAATCTTCACAACCGATAGGGCACGACCCAGCACCCCTCAGTTCGTGTCTTTATCAAACTCCCATGGCATTTACATGTACTGTCAGGTAATACATACAATATTGTCCGTCACTCATACGACAAAGAAACTCCGCTGTCGGCCGTGGATGAAAATCTCTCTCAGCAGAATTTCCCATTACACAGTGGACACCATCGAGGTTTGCAAATGACTCTTGCACGGAAGCTGCCGGGCTCATCAGTCCTCCTGGCAGAGGCCCGACTGAAATTGATGTTGAAACGCATGAAACCGTGGGATCGTTTGGAAACTCCGGACATTTCCGTATGGATCTAGCTGTACTGATTGAACTATAGTTGAAGTATGTTGAAATGAGAACCCTCTCTCTCTCTCTCTCTGCCTGCTATTTAGCAGTGTACGTAAAAACTTGGTAGGAATTCACAAAGCAAGAAGACAGATGCCAAGGCATAGGATGTGCGTTGATTTGACAGTGGCAGTGACAACACCATCTACAAGTTGGATGCGATTGTGTAGTGCTAGGAAATTCCAAACTACTCTTCGATGCAGTGCAGGGGCATTTGTCCCACTCCCATTTTTTGCAGGTTGTCTTGTGGGGGTGCTGTCTATTGGCCCTGGGACCTCCATTTCACACCCTTTGCCAGGTCTATCGAAGCCGCATCCACAGGTGGATCGATTCCATACGTTACTTTACATGGCTGCAGACAGCATCACCAAACTGCATCACTTCTTGCACATTCACAACTTGGTTCTCTCCAAGAGAGGGATGGGATGTCAACCTTCACACCCTGTGCAGAAGTTTCATCTTGCGAGACCACCCGACCCAGGGTTCCCCGTTTTTTTTCTTAACACAGAGACTTATGGCTAGAATGTTAGGCATTGGTGTTTTTGGATTTTATGGATGGGCTGAAAGCGCTGCGTTGTTGGTCGTTGTTGGTCGTTGTTAGTCGTTGTTGGTCGTTGTTGGTCGTTGTGTCGTTCCCGGCCTATCAACAAGAGATGGTGCATATCTATTGGTGATGCCTACTCGCCTGCTGCTTGATCGCCAGATATTTGGAGCCAAACTTGCCTCTGTCAGACGCATGGGCCTCATGAGCTCAGGACTGTAGCCGTCACTTTGTTCGATTCCCCTTTCAAAGTGTTCTCCCAAGTACGTTCCGCATGCCCGCGTGAAGTCTTCAAATCCCAATCCTTCTCGGACTTCACGCAAATAATTTGGTTCTTTCTGAATGCAACTGCTCATTTCTAATTAGTTGTCTATTCTAATCCCGAGCTATTAAAGAAGAACATAGGTTTACTGTCCCCTTTGACGCGAAATCGCAGAGCAGCACGGTCCGCAAATGACTTTGCAAAGCCTGCCAAGGTAAGGGCTGATGATGAGCTGGTAGCCTTCGAGGTACAGCAAAACGCTCAGGTGCCGGGTGTGGACGCTACTGCTCCAAGTGAACTCTATGGGAAAGCCCAGAACATCCCAGGGCCCACCATTTTGATACAGTAGCAAAATGTAAATGTGCACGCAAAGACCAGTTCTCTTGGTCATGACAACTAAGTTTGCTGCCACGTTCACTGGGGCCGATTTCTGGTAGGATTTGTGACAGCAACACCGACATCAACGATGTGTTTCTATCTTGGTGCCCTCAACACAATGCCCTGTACCATTCAGATACATTTAAGGCTTATATGGTTCGGATTTCGGATTTATGCAATTTACACTAACTTTGAAAAATTAGTTGCAGTCTTCAGTCTTTTAGGATACTTCAGCATTGCTAGGTGGACCATCCCGTAGGTGGCCGTCCGTACAGGATCTCTTGGAATTTCAATGCAAGTTGATGGGCATCCAGCAGCCTCAGGACTATGGCAACAAGGGGCCTTGAATTCGTCTGCCGAAACGTTTGTACAGTGACGACCAATGAGGGGTGCTCAAATACTCAGGATGTTTAGATGATGAACAATGATGGACAAATAGAAACTGAGATCAGGTTGCTTTGCGCTGATGGGCCTTTCTCCAACATGTTGCCATTACACCCTGCTGGCAGGGTGTGCCCTATGCCAAGCCCCGTTGCAGGACTCCGTGGATGAAATGGAGGTGCTGATGATCCAGGTGCCAAATATCACCGTTGGTCTTGCAGCATGCAAATCCCAAAGGATCCCAAATCCCAAAGGATTTTTCTTACATGAGAACATATCAGAACATATCAGAACTGTTCGGACAGTAATTTTTCGGGAACATGTCTTGTGATCCTTGTGGATTCTCATGGATCTTGGTGATACTGCGGCAAATTCTACCACTAAATACCACTGGCATTAGCTGCGTCAGCCAATGAAGTTGATTGAGCTCTGAGCAGGCAACTCTTTCACACATTTTGTCACCCACAACATTGTCACACACACACACAACTCCTTCACAGACAACATTGTCACACACACACACAACTCTTTCACACACACACACGCACACAACTCTCTCTCACACACAACTTTGTCACGCACACACAACTTTGTCACACACCACTCTTTCACACACAACTTTGTCACACACACACACACAACTTTTTCACACAACTCTCTCGCACACACACACACAACTTTGTCACACACACACAACTCTTTCACACACACACAACTTTATCACACACCTCTCTTTCACACACACAGCTTTGTCACACACACACAACTCTGTCACACACACAACTTTGTCACACACAACATTGGCACACACACAACATTGTCACACACCATTCTTTCACACACAACTCTTTCACACACAACCATTCGCACACAACTCTTTCACGCAAAACTCTTTTACCTACATCTCCTTCACACACAGCTTTGTCACACACACACACACACAGCTTTGTCACATACAACTCTTTCACACACACACACAACACTTTTACATACAAACGCGCAGACACTGGAGACACACACGCAAACTTCCACACGCAACTCTGTCAGACACAGTTCTTTCACACAATCTGTGTTCCACCATCTCCTTTCTCTGTCCTGCCTCTACCATCCCATGTTCACATCTGCTTTGTGCTTGTTGGAAGAAGTTGACATGTGGGGTTATCCGGGCCTTTAATTTGATCCCTCACCCTGCATGGCAAAATCCTGTGCTAAAAAACAGTTAGGACAGCGACCTAGACAAGTGCTGCAAATGCAGCATGCGTCATGCTGTTTCACAGAATCATTCCAAAAGAAATATTTTTTTTACTGTCAAACGGTTTTCTCCATGACGCCGAGAGCGACGCATCAGAGCCATAACAAAAAATCCACAACAACAACAACAACAACCACCACAACCACAACCACAACCACAACCACAACCACAACAACCACAACCACAACAACCACAACCACAACAACCACAACCACAACAACCACAACCACAACAACCACAACCACAACAACCACAACCACAACCACCACAACCACAACCACAACCACAACCACAACCACAACAACAACAACAACAACAACAACAACAACAACAACAACAACAACAGCTTGGAGTTTTGCCGAAGGAAAATTGATGGATTTGATGTTTACAACAGTTTGGCATGTGAACCCAATTTTCTTGCTGCCCAGCTGAGAGGTGTGTCATCGTCACGTAGTGGACGTGTGTCGTCCAGATGGCAATACGTGGGCGCAGCGCCGGGAGGCAGGAAAGTGGCGTTGCCAACCATGCCATGGTGATACCTTCGGAGGACATGGTGATCTTGTGGCATGTTATATCGTGTTGTAGCGCGTTGTAACATTTTGTAGCTGCCAAACACAAAACTTGAATGCGCTTGATGAAATCTGACAAGCCTGTCCCGGCTTCTTGCTATGCAGCGATCACTTGCACCGCACGCACAGTTTGGAGAGACAATTCCAAGACAAGACTGCTTCTGAAACCCAGAACTGAGAAAATAAGAGCAGACTGGCAGATAATCAGACAGCGTTTTTCAAAGAAAAATGTCAACTGAATATTTATACATTCCTGTGAGATTCTTTCGGGGGCTTCAGGCTTCAGACATGTGGTTTTGCACTGGTGAAAACATGCATTGAATTCGGACGTTTCCACGTTCTTGATGACAGGTATTTGGTATGCCTTTCGTGATGAGTGGCAAACTCAGAATTCGATCAAGTTCGGCTGAAGCTCCACTTCATTCCTGGGTGGATGCGTGCACTTAACAGTCTTAACATCAAATATAATATAAAACTTAAAAAAAAACCCAGTTTTGGCATATTTCGGCGATGAACCATGTGAACCCCCTGGATAAACCCCGGAAGAAATTCACAAGGAGTGTGGATGGAGTGCTTCATCGGACCACCATTCAGGCTATTTCCCCATTGAAAATTGGCAACATCCCGTCATTTATTCCACCCAGACATTACTCTCAGGGGACGGGCCATCTAGTCCAGAGTTTGTACATTATATTGCTCCCTGCTTATTGCTGGGGCAGGCTAACACAGGAATTGCTCTCGTGCGCGCTGAGACCCCAAAGTTTCAAAGTTGGGGATCCATGAAATCAGCTGAAGCGGGTGATTTCTGTTGACTGCCAAGAACTTTTCCCGGGAATGTCATCCTCTTGATTCGTGGACGAGTCGCTTCCGCATTCTTCCAAGGTGCTGCATCAACCTGGAGTTATGCAACGCTTCACGACACTTTGGCTTATATATATATTAATATATATATATATAAGTATATACGTATATATATATATATATATAGATGTATATATGTATATATATACATACATATATATATACATATATACACATATATACACATATATATATATACGTATATATACATATATATATATTATAATATATATATATATGCATTTACATATATACATATATATATATACATATACATATATATACATATATATATAAATACATATATAAATATATACATATACATATACACATATATATATATATACATATATATATATACATATATATATATATATATATACATATGTACATGCATATATACATATATATACACATATATATACATATACATATATATATATACATACATATATATATACATATATATGTTTACATATATATACACATACATACATATATATATATATACATATGTATACATATATATACATATATATATATACATATTTATTTTTACACACACACATATATATATGCACACACACATATATATATATACACATATATATACATACATTAATATACATATATGCATATTTACATATATATATACATATAGTGACGGACAACTACTTAGAACGTATTTTTCCATTTTTTTCCTACTTAGAACGTGGTCACAATCAACACTTAGAACGTAGGCATATTTTCAACACTTAGAACGTAAAACCAACACTTGGAACGTAGGGGGCCAATGCAACACTTAGAACGTAAAACCAACACTTAGAACGTTCCAAGTAGCTGTCCGTCGCTATAATTATGAATAATTAACATATGATATGTATATACATACATTAGAAATATAAATGCTACTACCATCCAAATCCTTCGGGAAATCGATGAGGTACCCACCGTTTCAAATCAACTGTGATGGTTCCCTTCCAACACTTAGAACGTCAGAACCCCCAAAAAGCACCAAAAGGTATAGTGTTCCGGAGATAAAAGACCGCCAAAATTTTTTGCAAATCATATGGGAGGGAAAAACCAAATGGTACGAAATTATGTCTATGTTTCCTACGGAATCAGCTGCTGAATCCAACACTTAATCCCTTCCCCCTAATACTAAACGTCCCCCC